TATTCATACTGTGTAATCTTCTGAACTGTAAGTGTAATTTTCTGAAATGTTCATTTCACTCTAAAATGGAAATAAGCTTACTTGCTTTTCTCAAAGCTTAATTCTCTCCCCTCTGAAGTCCACCCCTCTCTCCCACCTTACATAACCTCTTTTTTCCCCTTCGCTCTGGTTTACGCTCTCTTCTCATACTGTACGATTATTGTCAGTTGATGCACATGTGCACACAGATGTGCATTCTTTTTAACTAATATTCATCCAAGCGCAAATGCTCTTTTCCACAAATGGCCTGCTTTGCATTCACACACTCACACCTGGAAGCTGCCATGTACAACAATCTGTTGGACACTGAGCAGTTCGGCTTTAGGCGGTTGTTCAAAGGCTACCACTGCAGCCAGCTTTACAGCTAGAATTGGTGCAGAAATGTTAAAAAAAAAAATACAGAATACAGATTACGCCAAGAAGGGCAGATGTGCAAACTAGTCGAGTCCAGGTACATTCATGGATATTTGCTTGTAAACAGGCTGCAGCGCTCTCTTAGTGGCTGAAACTGGTGCTATTGTAGAGTCAGAAATAAGAGCTGTGTGGCCAAACGGAAGTCTGTTCAAATAACACAGCACTTGAAACACTCCATGGTTCACCTCAGGCGGTTGAGCTGTAGGCTAAAGGTGCACCATAGTTGCATCAGCTCATCTCAGGGAGAGTGGGCGGTTTTGTCCAAGATAGAGCTGAGTAAGTCATCCTCCCCTCTGCTTATGCCTTCAGGGTATCCAGACTCAGCCCTGTGACACAGCTAGTATTCTGTTTTACCTGTTTGTTGAGCCTGCCGGCGCCCCCTGCCTTGATGTCGCCTCCGCACACAGAGAATAGTTGACTGGCTACTATGTGTTAGTAGAAGTTGCAGAGCAGTCTGCTGCAAATATTGGATGACATAAGCCTCCTCGGGCAGACAGTCAGTGTGTGCTTGTGATGTCATACTGGAACAAGTCGTTATATGATATGAACTCCCATAACTTGACTGCACCACCATCACATCCTCACTATGGATTGATGGTAGGTGCCACTGGATTCCTGCTCTGTCAGGACATCTGCCACAGGCTACTTAATTTCACCAACATTCAATGTGAAGAGTAGAATACAACATAGTTGATATGAATATTGAATTTAAGGGCAAAGGTGAACATTTTGTTCTACAATGCAGAGGTTCAAAACTACAGAGTTGACAGCTCAACTCTTTCACCTCAGGGAAGAAATAGGTCACGGAAGATAAAGTTAAGTTTCACCTCCCCTTTTTATTCACCATGTGAAAACACGGAGACAAGATTAGTTATTTTAATTAGTTAGTTTATTTGGGTTCATTAATTGTTACAAAATCACTGATTTAACTCCTAACTAATATTAGCAAATATATGCGATACGAAAGATAAAAAATAAAGTTAAATTGTATATAATTGTAACTACAATCCTGGAGTGGCTGGATGTATCTGAGGACTGGAGGAGGGTTGATGCTAAAGTAATCTTAGATAATTACACTGCAGCCCCAATCTACATCTGCTTAATCATTCATTTATTACTGAAAACGTTTTAGTATCTTCTTGGTAGTTTATTTTCTTCCTTCTGTCTCTCTGGAAAATGATTTGTGTCAAATTGACTCTTCTTGAAATGAATTGTTTGATAGCTAAAGAGACCAATCTGGGTTGAAAGATTAGTCTCTAAACAGCTGATTATGGGGTAATCAAACCACCTCAAGAGAGTTTATGTAATCAGAATCCTGGGGTGAATGTCGAGAGAAAATGCAGATCAGCCTGACAGTGATACAGACGCTACTCTGTGGTAACAAACAGATGTTCTCTGGCTTCTACTTCATTATTTCATAGTAGTCATGTTGCCATGTAGTGGTATATGATCGCTGAATGTTTCCCACTGCCATAAATAGGGGATTGACCCTATAACATGAGCATCTTTACAATATAGTGCAAGCTAAAAGATGAGCCGATAAAGCCCACTCCGAGTGGGTGGACGCAGGACGTTTACAGAGGAGACCGCTGTTCCTGTCCCGTGTGAAACCAATATTCAACTTTACACCTGTTACGTAACATTACGCAAGAAAGTCTGCTCAGGCTGGTTGTTTTTTATTAAAGCTATGTTGATGCTAGTTACGTTGTTGTTAAATATATTTTTGGTTCGACAAACGTCATCATTCAACATATCCGTGGTTTGCGGAAAATTACACAGCTTGATCCAACCCGATGATGCAAAATGCTAAACATGAAATGTTTTGGTTGGCAATTTGAATGGGTTCCTTCCTTACTGTATAAGTGAAACTGCATTTGAACAATATGCGGATGGATGTTTAGCTGCTCTGGTGAATGCAGTTTATATTGTATGTTTCCACAGTCATACTGGCACATTGTCTGATGATGATATATGTTTTTGTTTTTGCATGCACACACACACACACACACACACACGTTATCTCTGTGTGCATTCATTACTATTGTTAGTTTAAATTTGACACATTTTGTTGCCTCAGCAGCCGGTAGATGTCATCTACTTTAATACGGTGAATTTGAGAGAAAGTGAGAGGGGACGTCAGAGAGCAATGATGGTGGAAATGAGAAAAAGAGAGGAACACAGAAGGATGGTGGCATATTCACAGTACAGTAATTATTACACTGACGCTCTACAACACTATGTCTACTGCTTCCTATAGTCACACACAATGTTTTAATGTCAACCAGTAATGTACGACCTCTGCTGAAATAGAGGCAGGAATGAAATGTGAAAATGATTCACATATGTGGCTGATTACACCCTCTAATGAATAATAGTGGGTTTTAATGTATTCTAATGTAGCTGGACTAAAATAGACAGCTAGGCAAGGATATCAATCAAATGAAAACAATAATAATATCTCAGTGATGTTGTAAAAACCTGCAGCGCAACAAATCCCACTGATGGTGGATTTTAAGGGTTTCCCAACTTGTATTCATTTCAAAGGGATGTAATGTAAGTCTGGGTGAGAGACATTTCAATTGTGAAAGCCAATATTATAAGACGTGTTTTAAAGTGACAATCAAATGTGCAGCTAAATCTGAGTTGATTATGCGCCTCCAGGTTGGTGCGTAAATTCATAATTTATTTGAACTCTATAAAATGCAGCACAATCTGTGACGGTGCACCAAACACAGCAGAGCGTCTGTATCACAATACATACTGTACGTGTCTTTTTTTTCTCCCTTTTCGGAGACCGGGATCCACCCCAAACAACCTTGAAAAATTCCTATTACAGTTCCTGTTTTTTTTTTTTCAGCAGTGGTTGCCATGACAACTGTGCATTTTATTTCTGGCTCTCACGAAATGGTGTGTGAGATCACAGATCCCGAATGTTATGTAAGACGACGTGCACTGTTCCAGATTTGGGGTTTCCTGCTGCAGAGAACTCAAAAAGTAATTAATTACAGGGGAATGGCAAACACTTAAGGCGCTTCGACATTGTCTCCCTGTTTACCTGATATCTTTTATTACATCCTGGTGAGACGTAAGCTGTAATTGATATGCAGGAAGCTCGGCATGATGACAGATGCTTTTAATAACGCTGCTCCTTTTTATTGAAAAGTTGTATCTAGATAGGCCACAGATGAACAGAAATTATGATCAAGGTTTGTGCATCAGTCAGAGAGGAAGGAAACGTAGAATAATAATAGACATTAGAAGACCCTTAGACAATGGTACGTTTGTAATAAAGAGGCGTGGGAATAATGAATTAACTTGAATGGGATTACAGGACAAACTGGGGCATCAAGTTAGGATTTAAGTAAGTAGCTAATCACTTGTTGGATATAGGCAGTTTATTATACAAGTAGTCAAACATATTTTACACTTCATTATACAATTTCAGTATCATCTCATTTCGCAGATACTTTCCTTCTTTAAATTGGAAACCTGGAAAATGAATGTCAGTAAAGCCAAGAGAGGGTTTTCTGTGGTTAATGTCACAATGTGACATTTTGCTTCAAAGATGAAACTCCATGGAGCTTACTTTTTCATGAGCAGTTTCTGTTTTACAACATTGCCAATGAGGTATCACCAGCTGCAGACCCACAGAACCAATGCTATTGACTCACAGTATCTCTCAGATACTAATCATAGAACTCCTGTGTTGCATGCAGCCACTGTGTCCTCAAAGCTTTGTGACCACAGGTGCAGGTCGGTTGTTCATTTACCACAGACTATAGTGCGTACTATATTTATCAGAGAAATTGTAGAAGTGCTTACCAGTTATTTCAAACTAAACAATCTCCATGTTTAGAGGCAACACAAATTGGAAATGATGCTAGCATGATATCATGGCGAGAGCCTTGATACAATTGCAGGTATTTAACTTATCAAATTATCAAATTGTTAACGTTGAGTACAATAACTGTTGGATATAATAATAAACTATGAGCTTACTCTGCACATATTGTGTCAGTGTTTTTTAAGATAATATAGAAAAACCTATGGGTGGTTGGTGAGCATTCATCATTAAGCGCCTTACAGAGATAAGAGCAAAAGGATTTAGGAGGTTACGCTGCACTTTTTAACCCTTCATATAAAAAAGCTACTTAATTCTCAAATTGCAAAGTGTAAAAAATGTGTTGCTCTTTGTGATCACTGCCCAGTGATGTGCACAGCTCCCCTCACTGTATATAGCTAATAACCACTGGTTCACCACTCGAGGCTTGAGGAAATAATAACTTTAGCACAGATTCCAGAGGAGATAGTTCAATTTGTTGAGCTCTAATTAATAATAACTATACTTACATGTGTATTTTAATTCTGCAACAACTTCTCATTTGGTCTCTCCATTGCAAGAGTGTTCACCCGCATTACAGGTCCCTTGGTATACTGTGTTGGAAACAGCATAAAGTGGGAGGATGAGAAATTTACATAGCGCAATCAGTCTCGCACCAACTTGCTTGTATCTTATTTCCCTCTTTCTTTCCCCTTCTCTGAAACAGACCAGAAGTTTTCACCTTGGTCCCCGTCTCGAAAGTTCAATGAAGACAGACGCCTCCCTCCAGCCAGGAACATGAAGGGCTTATCGGGCAGCCGTTCCCAGCACCAGATCCCTTTACCCTATGGCTTGGACTATGACCCCCATGTCCATGACCTCCATGCTCACCATGGCTCCGAGTCCCGCCACTCATCCTACCTGCTCAGCCCCACAGAGAGCTGCCCCATGGACTTCCACCACCGCTACTCGCCACGCAGCTCCATCCACTCGGACTGCATGATGATGACCCCTGTCATGATGCCTCCAGCTGCTGTTCCTGACCACATCTCCAGCAGCACCTTTCCCAGAATGCACTACAGCTCTCAGTATTATGACTCAGCCACACGGGACGACTGCGCTGCCATCACAGCTTCTGCCACCTCCCCAGCAGTCGCGGCTGCCGCAGCCGCTGCAGCCGCCTCCTCCCATCTCGCCGGCACCAAGAGCAACCGCCTTCCTGCTAACCTAATAGACCAGTTTGAGAAACAAATGCCACTGCACCGCGATGGCTTCCACACGTTACAGTACCAGCGCACCTCCACCACCACTGAGCAACGCAGCGAGAGCCCTGGCCGCATCAGACACCTTGTTCATTCTGTCCAGAAGCTCTTCACCAAGTCCCACTCACTGGAGGGATCGTCCAAGATGAATGGCACAAAAGGTGATATTATGGGAGGTGGAGGCGGATATCACCATCATGGCCACCACTCCACCAAACATGGTAGCAAGAGGAGCAAGAGCAAAGAACGCAAGCACCGCTCTGGCGGCTGGTGGAGCTCCGACGACAACCTGGATAGTGACAGCACCTACCGCACACCCAGTGTCATGTCGAGGCACCATGGGGAACATGTCAGCCACTGCTACCCAGATTCCATGCAGAGTCATCACTTTGGAGACCTGTCACTCAAGACCTCTAAGAGTAACAATGATGTCAAGTGCTCAGCCTGTGAGAGCATGGCCATGGCTCCCGAGGGCAAATTCATGAAGAGGAGCTCCTGGTCGACACTGACAGTCAGCCAGGCCAAGGAGGCCTACAGGAAGTCATCGCTTAATCTAGAGAAACCCATGATGCACATGGACCACAAGCCTTCATCGCGAACATGTCACTACCTACAGGTAAGTTGTTCTTTACTTGATTTATGTTTAAAAAATGGACAGAAATCGAACAAATTTCATGTACAATAAGTGGTTCAATGTATGGCTAGACTTTGGAAATTTGAATGTACTTATTCCAGGTACTATATATATATACACACATATAAAAAGCATTATTTATTAAATATTTTTCATTCTTATTTGGAAGAAATCTATGATTGAAAATGTAATTAAAAATGCTTCCACAGCTACACATGCAGGGCAGGCGAAATAAATGGTGGTGGTGGTGGTCAGAGGAGGATGGTCTCCTACTGTCCTCCCTCAGGGCTGGACCTCTATCAATTTAATTTATTACATTTTTTCATGCTAATATATGATTGGCCAAAATACGTGAAATGACGTTTTCCCTTGGGGCCGTTTCCAATCAACAACCAAAATACAATATTAGCACTGCGGTCCAAAGATTTCCACATGTCATCCTTAATTCTCTAACACTGTATTGGGACAAGCTCGCAGTTAAGTGATTCTGTACATTATACAGCAGCAGATTAGAAAAGATATTATAAAGTGCGAATTGTGAGCTACTTCTAAACACATCACTTAAAAAAAAAATCCATTTTAATTAGGCCTTTACAACAGAGCCCAATTTACCTGTGCAGCAGTCCGTCGCCTGTACCAGGATTCAGTCCCACGTGAGTGGAGTGCAGCAGCACGTATGGGCAATGGGCTGCGGTTTTCTGACGGGCTTCTAGTGACACAATATACACACAAGGGCCATTCCCATCCAGAGCCTGCAGTGATCCTTTTTTAAGAAATCTTGTCAGCCATTGTTTTACTGATTCATTTTCCGTTGCAGATAAGAAAGTAGAGATAAGTAACTAGTGTAGCAATGATAATAATTGTATTCATATAGAACTTTTCAAGCTTAAGCAGGAAGTGCTTTCCAAATTCAAAGATATGCAGAATACAATTTAAAAAAATAAATCGGAAAGCCATGTAATCCCCCTGATATACATTTAAACCTTGACACAAAGTAATGGTGCTATTCTTTGTCTAAAAGATAACATATACAGTATAGCCCTCGTCCAATGCAATATGATTCTTGTCATTGTCGAATATCTATCTAAATGCATAGAAAGCTTGAACATCACCTATCTGAAAATATAACAAACAATAATTGAGATCAATATCCACCCACCCCCAAAGAGCACCTTCTGAGTAAAATGCAGTAATTGATGTATTGATTACAAATCCTGCCAGGGAGGCCTTTCAGGTTCCACCTTTCTTTCTGTTGCTCTCCTGAGGGCAATTACAGTGTCCAGAGTGAGAAGCCGATATATTTAACCAGGATTCACTTTTGTGTAGTCACCTCGGGGAGCTATTGTCTATTAAGATGTAGGGATCAATTGATGGAATCAATGTCATGGTGAGAAGAGAATACAAGGCTATACCTGAGCGAGACTTTGATGTGGAAAACACAGGTTAGGTGTCTAAACAAAAAAGATATACTGTTAAGCCAGAGCTGATGTAGGTTGCAAACTAAACTAGAAATACATTGTGTAATACACAGTTTTCAGGCCTTCGTCTTTGCCATTCCATCTGACATATTAACAGGACAGGACGGGTTTAGCCACAGGTACTGGCTTCAAAAGACACAGTCAAAAGCCAAGTTTTTGAGGTAACGGCCATGTCTGATTCAATTTCTTTTCATTTTCGATTTTCAGCATTTAGCAAAGGCTCTCATCCAGAGTGACTCACAGTCAGTGCAGCATTAGAACACCGTAAGCTTAAATTCACGTTTCAATTAGCTTCACATGAAGGCGATTCAAGATACGTATATACAAATAATGAAAACGTTGTTTTCAACTACAAAAGGGGCATCATCTCAGACCTTAATAACATATTTAGGGGATAGCTGTGCTTTGAAACTCTGCACCTCCGAAGAACACTTTTCTATCAGTAGAAGTTGGCCTGGACACCCGATTATGAAATGGTCTACTTCTTGTAATGGGGATGAAAAGAGCTGAAGTGGTTGGCCATTGTTAAAGTTCAAGATGATGTATGCCTTCTACTAACAACATTCATCCTGCTTTAGCCCTTTTTTCACATTGTGCCAAGTTTAGCATTGTGCTTGTCCTCACACAATCACAGAAAACGCTAAATTTGTTGGCCACACTTGCATTTGGACCCAATTTCATAAACATTTGCAAGACTGACTTATATGCATGCACTAGAATTGAATTTTACTGACCCTACTTTTACTAATGACAGTGAACGGTGCTGCTCTTACATAAAGCTACTAGATGCATTTCTGTTTATACTTGGAGAAGGAGAAGAGGTTGAATCTTTGCCCAGTGCATGCGCTTTGGTGTGTAGTGCACCACTACGCACAGATACACAAACTGCAGTTGTTTGTGTGCCATGGGGACAGGAAGACTCTGTCAATACAGAGGCTCTCTAAACTGGCATTTGACAAGCTTATGTGTCAGCGGGCAGAGACCCTGCAGCTGCCACATGGGCACATTCTGCACCGAGCGTGTCCACACTGAGAGCCTTATTCAGTGGAATAGGAGAGGGGGGAATCTGTACTCAGGCGTTGTGGTCATTGCTTTGTGTGCTCATCGGATTTTATCTGTTTGATTTGTCTGGGTCCTTTAGGTCTGTGTTCACTTGTGATGAGGAGGAAAGGTCTGCATTGGGCAAGCTGTTGACATAATCTTATTTCAGTCAAGTGTCAAGTCTTCAGGCTTGCCTCCTAACCAAACAACCTCAGTTGTAGTGTAGGGTGAAGCTTACGTCAAACAAAATGACGATTACACAAAAATATATATTATTGTGGAAATCTTAAAGATCATCATGGAACTTCAACAGACAGACACAGGAAGTCGACAGGAATTAGCCTTCCATTAAAGGACAAATACATCTGTCATAATTTACAGCTATAAATCTGAACTTTTATGATCTAAATGAGGCTCAATGTAGAGATATTGTGCAATCTGACAATGTTCTGTTGTGATTTTACAATTAACTTAAAGAGCGTAGGCCTGCAATAAATCACTTTAAGTCCTAAAAGCCAACTTAAAAAAACAAACATTTTTCCATCTATTTTTGAATTTGTATTGCTTGATTTAATAATGACATTTTTTATGGCTTACTTAGTCTCCTGTGTATGAGAAATACTTCATTATAATGGGGTAAAGCTTGGTAAACAACGTGTAAATATTAAATGCTTTGGCCGTGGTCCAAAGATCTTGAAGCTTGTTTTGAATGTGAGAAACAGTATAATGTGTGCAGTTAAGGCAAACTGTGCACATCTTTTACAGTAGTCCATAAATCATCTAGCTTCACTCAATCATATCTTCTTGCCCTTGCTTGTCAGAAATGTAGCCAGTGCAGTGCTTTCCCTTTTAGTGTAATAATGAAATCTCTCAAATGATTGGCAGGAAACTTGAAAAGATTATCTGAGGAGGAGCTCTGTCTCCTCTTGATGTCTCTATTAGAGTATCAACTGCAACATCCCTAAAGGTTGAGCTGGTCTCCCCCCCCGAAATGAACCCCCTGCAGTGAAAAGATGCTTCAAATTCTCAGTGTTTAGTAGTAACTAATGATGGCGTCAAACAGCAGAAAATAGGTATTGCTAAAAAGCTAGCACGATGCATCCATGAGTGATGGCTGCCTTGTTAACCACAGCCCCAGACGATCAATGGTCGTGCATTAGGAGGAAAATAATTATTTTACTTTATTGCTGTCCTTAAGCCTAATTCATTTAGTTGCCAGACAATTGTTGCATTTCATTCCACTCATGTGGGAGAGGATAAATGTATGCAGAGCAAATTAGTGTGTGTGATGGTTTTACTGATAGGTCTTTGAAGGAAGACAGAAGCAGGTCAGCTAATTTTCATGTTACCTTTCCAAGCTGGAAAGCACAACCTTGTTTTTTTTTTTTAAAGGGGATGACAAACAAAGATGATAACCTAATATTGCAACATTAGCAAACCGAAGGATCGTCATTCATTTCCCTACTCTGCTGTTGTATACTTACAACATGGCAGCGAGCCATGCTGCCCAAGAAGATTCAAAGGAGAGTTCTCGTAGCATATGGTCTAAATGCTTCCCAACCCTTTTCATTTTGACTACAAAAACATCCGAGTAAAATAAGCTAGATTAATGATGGTGGAAAGCAATGGGTGCTATTATTAGCATATCTTTTCTCTCTGAATTCTCCCACTTGCCACCTCCCATGGAGGAAAAAAATGTTCATCAATTTAATAGCAAGTGCCCAATGCTGTCTTGTCTTTAACCTGTCTGCGGAACGTCAAGTCAGAAAAGGAAAGACTGAGCGGGGGAGAGGTGGTGGACAAGAGCAGATAGTGACAACAGATGTGATAGAGAAACCATCAGCCACTCTGCTCTCTGTGAGAACAGTTCAGCGACTGTGGCAGAGAAACAGCAAAGCTATGTGATTGGGCAAAGTGAGGAACTTGCGGAGCATTGGGGGACAGCCCTTCGCCTGGGGCTGTTGTTTCAAGAGCTAAGGCTGCCCTATTCACTGGGACAACCGCTGACATAATGTTGTACATACTGTGAATTTGTTTTGTTTTTTTCTTCATATCCTCTCTAGTTACAATCCTGTATTTTTGTCAGTACAACAACTGACACAGTTGTTGTACTTAGTACACGACTCACTCAATATTGTGCCTGTAGTGCGTGACACATTGCCATCGTAAATCACCATCTTCGGGAGCACAAAACCTCACTGTGTTTGTGAGGGGCATTGATTTACATCTCATGAATAATTTGTCAATATTAAAATCACAGTTCAGTCTCAGTCAAATCAGGTGAGCTAAAATGTAAACGGTATATTCAATATGGCAATCAAAATGTTGAGGGTAATTGCTTCTTAGGAGTTAGTTGTATTCTACCTTGATTTCTGTGACATCAAAATCGAATTAAAACTTACTGGTTTTCAGTACATGAGCACTTGGTTATGTGTAGACGTTAGTAGCAGAACACCACACAGTGTACAGTAATTAGCTCACAATCACTTAATCACTATGTTAATCCTGATGCCGTAATGTTAAGAACAGTCACTGTTCACACTTATGAGTATATTTAACACAAAAGGCTATTTATGCTACCATATGTCATGGCCGTGGTTACAAACCTATTTGAATGTTAATAATTTATGTCGTTTTTGATCACATTCAGGTACTGCATGTCAAAAACATATGCTGTGCTCCTTTGGCTGTCATTCAAAGCTAATTTAAGCAGCGATGCTGTGCCATTAACGGCCGTGTGCTGATTTATAAGTTGCAGCCGTAGCCTCAGCACTATGATTGGCAGCATTAGCTGTGCAAGCATAAAAATACACAAACCTGCATCACCGCCAAAAGTGGGAAGCAAATTCTATTAATCTTTTTCTACAAATCCTTGAATTATGTATGCCCATGTTTTGATTTGCAATATGAGTGCTATTCTCAAAGGTTGTTTTAACCTTCCCATTCAACTGGTTTGATGATCCTGCAGATGTAAAGTAGTATTTGAGCTCCTTCTAGAGACATGCTGATGAATCTACTTCATGTTGATTTACCTCCAAACCACAAACATGGACTCCATTAAAATGAATGAAAGGAAGGTTTGTGGATATTATTAAAGTTATATAGTTGTTGAAATGCTGACATGCTGCGAAACTGGAAAACTTGACATTGATTAAAATATATTTAAAGTTCTACGGCTTACAAACATACTACAACTCCTTTAGATGATGGATCTAGCAGTGGGTGTTTGTCATGTCTCAAAATATTAAGATCGAAGAAAGAGGTATTTGTTTTTAGACCACTAAAGTGAATGCAGTTACCTTCAACTAACCTGTAAACGTATGGGTGTTACTTTGACCAAGATGTTTGGACTATGCAAAGAAACCTGAACATCTAAGGGAAACCCATGCAAACATTGCTGTTAAGGTCCTGCTTATAACCCATAGCGCTGTTGATTTATCTCTCTGTGTACATAAAACGCACAGTATGACCAATTCCCTTACAGGATGCAGTCCCCCTCGTTATTACCATCGAAATAATACAAATGGGGCAAGGCCTTCAGAATTTGGACACTTGAATAATTGTGAACATACAAAGTAGCAAGTAGGCAATGATTTCAGACAACATAAAGAGAGACTGCGTCTGAATGTTTTAGCTTCTTGGTGGCCCTCTAGGGGCCACATGCAGTAATGACTACAGGAAAACAAAACAAACAAACATTATTCCTGCCAAATACAAGGAATATTTGTCTGTTTGAATAAAACTAAGAGAAAAATAAATAAATAATTCAATTAAATTAAATATTATTTATAGTAATACAGTTAAATTGCTATAGTGTGTTTCACTACTGCATTACAGGAAAAAGCGATATAAATACAGTATCCTCAACATCAGCTACTCCTTTAGTTGTCAAGTTTAGCTGAGTTGGTTTGTGCCATTTCACCAATTTCAGTGGTTCATCTTTTTCACGAGAATGATACAAAGTGCCCGTTTGTGGTTGCAGTTAGGAACGTAGCTTAGAGAAACCCATTGGATCTGCTTATCATGGGTGGAGTAAGGTTAAGCATTGAGTTTAATTTGAGATCCCAGGCTCAGAGGGGAATGAAATAGAGGTGGAGCTTGAAACCAGGGATGTGAATCAGCTTAATTTTCTGTTGAGGGAAAATCCAGCCAGAGCTTGTCTAACTACTTGTCTGATACAGTTCTCACACTCTTTGGCTAATTGGACCCCATTGTACTTGCAAATAATATCTCTGATGTAGCGCAATCTGCAAGCCAGATTTTTTGTCTCTGAGCAGGACGACCCACTGTCACATGGCTAAACAAGTCACCACAGATACCTGCTCAAGTAATCAAGTAATATAACCTCACGATTATGAATGTGCATGTAGTATTTAATACAGGTGTGTTATCTCCCACAGGTACCCCAAGATGAGTGGGGTGGATACCCAGGCGAGAATGATGACGAGATCCCGTGTCGACGGATGCGCAGCAGCAGTTATGTCAAAGCTATGGGAGAGGTGGATGATGAGAGTGGTGACTCTGACACCAGCCCTAAGACCTCCCCACAGAAGGCCATTCGGCCTGATGCTCTCGTCCTCAAATCAGCCATGCAGAGACCCCATTTAGACTCCCAAAGGTAGGCTTGGCTGCCGAGCTTAATATGTCCACGCCAAAGCTATGTGTTGATTTCAATATATTCCAATTGTTTTCATGAAACCGTTAAAAGGATTAATGGATGCTCGGAAGGTATGCTGAAAATCAGGCAACGCTTTAGAAATGTACCTTTTCAAACTGTATAATCATTTATAGGAATAGCTCAGGAATTTGGTGGTTGTCTTTAGGGTCAACGAATTCAAGACAACTCCTTTGTCTTGAATTATTAATTATTACATGCAAGGGCATAGATTTTGTGTCATGAGTGAATCTGAGGAGTCAGGAATTGGACTGTCAGTTCCAGTGACTGATAAAAGATAGTGGTACGACTTCAATATGAGGTCAGTAGAAATGGTTAAAGGGTTAAGCTTCACAGTGTTGCACACAAACACACACTCAGACAATCATGGTGGTGAAGCTGTACACTACTCCACACACTTCTTTAGCTGTAGTATGTTAAGGAACAATTAACAATGTTCCGGGAATGACCAGAAACGTTTCATGCACAACTGACTTGCACTTCAACTCCTAACTACACGCTGCTGCGTCTTGTGTAGTATGTATGCAAAACATATTCAGTGTTTTTAAGGATGGGTTACAAGGGAGGGCATTCAAATAAGTTTGTCTAAAATCTAGACCTTGTCTTCAATAATTATTTCCTTCTCAACCTATACGTGAAATTTGAATTCAGATCTTCTGCCCTTTGAACCATCTAACCCCAAACTCACTGTCCAAGTAAAGCTGTTGTTTGCTGATCCTGCTGAGCTGTCCCTGAGAGATCTTGAAGAGGTTTCACATGATTTGGTGATTCCAAGTGAAGTTGCTTGGCAACAAAAAGAGAGTTTTGGTTGCCGTTCCTTACATCATTGTACGCACGCCTGGATAACTGTATCAAGCTGCTATTTTTAAGCCGGGCTGTATGACTTGTTGGCTTGTTTTATAACCACATCACTTACTTGCTCTTAGGCATTGTGGGCTAAGTATTCGATTGACAACTCTTTCATGAGATCAAGAGTAGTGCTCTGCTGAACGCTGTAGTGCCAATTGGGTTTTTGTGTTTGTGACCTTTTTCATATGCTAGTTTCAATATTTGCTCAACATCTTACACTGGCAATGTTCCTCATCTCATCACAGTGTTGTTGACAAGGCTGTAGCAAAACTGTCACATTTACAGAATGTCAGCCTCTAGAGAGCAGGCTTAAATGTACCGGGGCTTACTGGATGAAGGAATCATTGTCACACAGAAGGGCAGACATCAAAGTTACTGACTGTTGTGTTGAGAAGTGTGGAGCACAGTTCTTATTGCCATGGAAAAATAAAACGATATATATATATATATATATATATATATATATATATATAATGTGTCAAGAAGAGTGGGAAATATTATAGATTAATTATTAAGAGGCCTTAAAAAACAGTGTCAATAACAGTAATTATTATTATAATTACAATAATGGTTATTAAATCATTATAATAATAATAATAATAATAATAATAATAATAATAATAATAATAATAATAATAATAAGACAGCCAGAGGATCCTTGCTGCCCTCTCCGGCCGACAGTCTCAGCTCTGTTCCACCTCTGACTGGGTTGTGGAGTTCACCTGTACTTCTTTGCCACAAGGTGAAAAGTTAAACCACTGCAGGTCAAATATTTTCAGGGGGTGTCGAGATATTCTTTAATCATTTCCTAATCATTTATCTGTGGTGAAATGTATCTGTTGCCAACTCATATTCCATTAAGTGTGTTTGTGACCCAGAGGGTGCTATTCTGTCACTTTCACATTCACACTAAAGCTTGTCGTTGCTCAGCTTGTTTTTACTCGGCTTATTGTTGTCTGTGACTGTTTTTTTTTCCAGGCAGTGGGGCTTTAAGATGTAGCCAAATTCTGTGAACCTGGGGAGGCGTCATGCATCCGTCATCCCCTATTGCCACTCAGTGCTCTGTGCTATTTGTGTTACCATCATCTCAGCTGGGTTCTGACCACTTTGGCTTCCGTCCACAAACAAATCCGCCCTCTTGTTTTCTAGCCTGGTGGAGAATGTAATAATATCTCATAATTGCAGATCGCGGCTCTCATTATTTTTCTCATCAGAACCAGAGACAAGCCGAACACATGCTCTCTATACTTTTGGGATGGAAGAATGTTTTCTCATAGGACACTTGAAGCTAAACTAGAAGCGAAGTCACACAAGTCACTAAAAATAGTTCCATGTGGATATCAGCAGTTCAGAAACGGTCATGAGTCACTCAGGTGGCTGATGTTCATTTGAGATAGAGATCCTCAAACATGACCCACACCAAACAGAAGACACACCATTCCCATTGATGCTAACCAGTAGATTTGTTAGGTACATTATTATCCAGTGATGTTCCATGTGTGGCTTTTGAATTGTGCAATCGTATCTATCCCTACCCCCTGTCCTCGTTCAGCCAGGGCTACCACTTGCAAACCACAAGAGAAATGCGACCCCACCCTAGTGTCACGCTGGACCCTGCCGCCTTTCACCCTCCGCCCTTCCGCTCTCGCAACCAGAGCTACATGCGCGCCGTCAGCACCCTCAGTCAGGCTAGCTGCGTCAGCCAGGTGAGTTTTAAACACATACATCGCACAGAGGCAACACCTGGAGACATTAATAAGAGCTTATGTTAAGTTGTTTTGCATGTGGTAGCTTTGTGTGGAGGGCTTCACGGAGACATAAAACATCCACAGGTGTCCATGTTGGAGGTCCACAGCTGATTGTTTAGAAGACATAGCCATGGCTGTCTCAACTCGGGTCAACAGGCATAACTAATTTGTGCTGTTTTGGACTGGAAATTGATGATTTAAAGATTTTGAAGTGTTTTGTTTTAATAAGAATCATGATATTGTACATAATTAAGAAACTAACATATCAGTTTCACATCAGTCTATATCCTGATTTGGCCCACGGATATCTGGAGACGACCGCTTACAAACGATGTATCCCTCTCCTGCTGTTGTGGCATGCCAGCTAACTAGCTAGCAAACAACACCAAAAGCAGCAGTTTTGTTTTTGTTATTTTTCTACTACTTATGTTTAGAATTAGAGACTAGGGCCAAAAGACACATTGACATCATGTCTTACCTCACACCAACCTTTTCAGCTATCTTCCTTTTGCATACCCTGCTATGAATCTTTACAGTTGGATCAATTGTGCAAGTCTGTTTTGGACCTCCATGGTGGAACAAGACGTGGTAGCTATGAAGATTTGTGACACAGCTACAGACCCTCCATAAGGAGGAGTAACAAAAGGAGGAGAGATTTTGTTGATTAATAGGTAATTGAAGGGTAATTAATAATTAAAATGAAAAAGGTCTGACATACTAGTGAAACACATCTCTCTTATGTAATTGAATTTTGTATGTTAAACACTGACATTTTAAGAAAAAAGCAAGACTATGTGGACAGAGGACAGAAGAGGACATGACAGAAGAGAACAGAATTGGATAGATAAATAGCTCCTTTTACAGCGGCATGATTTAGTTGCATGTTCTTGACAATAAGTGAATTCATCTTGTGTAAGCTAGAATAATGTAGAATGTTTGTAAGAGCTACATGAAGAATTGAGACTGCAGCGTACATCTTAGTTTTTGGGGTAGGAGGTGAATGGAATGTTTTAACACAATATGAATATTTTTCTGATTGTTTCCTGCTGTCATCTGCCTTTTTTCATTTGATCTTGACATTTATTCAGTTTAAGGTCGGAATGACAGTGGCATTTCCTTACGCTAACACTCCTTCATATTTGCTGTGCAAAGGGGAAGAATCAAAGTGAGAAAGAGAAAGGACGAGGAAAAATTAAGGACTGCTATTCCTGTTTTTGTCTCTCAGGTGAGTGAGACTGAGATCAATGGCCAGTTTGAGTCAGTTTGCGAGTCCGTTTTTAGTGAAGTAGAATCCCAGGCCATGGAAGCCTTGGACCTGCCTGGTTCGTTCCGCACTCGAAGCCACAGTTACCTCCGTGCAATTCAGGCCGGTTATTCCCAAGATGACGACTGCTTGCCTTCAATGACATCCTCCACTGTCACTTCAACTCTCAGATCCACAACAGGTAAAACAATCCCCCCCCTAAATGAGAGAGGGCTTAGACTACATATCCTCATACATCCTATACATGTGCACAAACTGGACATACCTGCATATGTACAGTGGGGAACCCTTGAGCTTCAGCGATGCCGGGCTGAATGATCCCAGTTATTTTTTCTTTGGAAGCTATGGTGTGCGTGTGTTTTGTTTTTGCCTCTGCATACTCCAAATGGTTTAGATGGATTTGCTTGTGTGTTACTTTGCACGATTCACGCATCATTAGCCAAGCTTCTGGTTGGTCACTTGTGGTGTTGCCAAGCTGTAGACTAATGAAGGGTGGGAGGGTCGCATAAACACTGAGATGCCTCACGGTACACAATATTACAACACAGCACAGCGACACACCATGGCATGCCTAGGAGGAGCAGGCCTTACCCCTAAGCATGTTAAACTGTGGTGTTATATATGTGTTGTGCCAAGCGTGTGAGTTACTTAGGGAGGGCTGAGGACACAAGCCTTCCGCCTGTCCTCCCCCTGCTCTGTTGCACCATACATTAGCATATGCTTTGCACCTGATCTGGTCATTGACCTCGTAAAATAAATAAAAAAGCACAATCTTGTAACCAATTTAAGGTAAGTCAACAACCTCTATTGACTAGAACACATACTGGTTGCACAAAGGAACCATCCACTGATTCTGGTACATTCGAGTTTGAGAACTACAACCTTCAATCACTTGCAGTATTGTTGTATTGTGTTGTATGAAATGCAAGTCTCAGTCAAAATAACTAATGAATTCTATGCAAAGTTTATTAGAGGACTTCCTCTAAGTTTAAGAATCACTGTCGTCATCGACTGAAACTTTCCAATTCAACAGATTCATATTTTTATTTTTTTTTAGCCACAATTTGGACAGTGGAAACAGACTCAAAATGTTCTGAAAACAGCACATTCTGTTTATGGACTCGCATATTTATACGTCCTATATGCTGCTTTTTTAATACAACATGCAACAATGTCAAGGTTTTGTGCAACACAGTGCAAGCAATATAAAATTAGCACTTCAGGTTCTTTGTGCAAGCAGTCTTCGCAGTAACTCCCTCACTACGTGCATTTGATGTTTACCTGCAAGAGTAAAGCTATGAACCCTATTGAAACATTTTTCTTTAAATATGTGCATTTTTAAATATTATGACCTGGATTTTTATTGTTTTTGTACATTTTTCTGTCAATTGAATATTGGAGACAATTGCACTTTTACTCATTTTGTGGATTTTGTTTTCTTCTGCAATCTGGACTTTTCTTTTTTGGAATCCTTTCATATTCAATTGGGTTTCCATCTACGATTTCTTCGATGTGACGAAGTACTGAGGATAAAGGAGTGTTCTCCAATCCCACTGTCTTATTTGCTGAACTCTATTCATTTAACTCTCTGCTCCAAACCTGTCAGCTCTACGTGGACTAAAACAAGCAGTTGACTGTACGATATGTTTTGAAGTTGTATTTTGAAGATTGGCATGATGCATCAATTATTATATGTCAGATAAGGTTATAGCAACCCAGAGGAAGGGTTCCCTGGATGGTGATTAATTGTATACAGCACCGTCACCTCCCAGTCAAGCCATACTCTAAATTATATTTCTCCTTTGGTGTACTCTTTGCACTGTTAATTAAATAACTATTTAAGTAACTTATCCTTGGCTAAGATAAACATTGATTCCTGGAATCATGTTTTTTATGTTAGTATTCAGTTCCAGTTTATAATTGAATTGTAAGCGGCTTATGAACCAAACCCCGTGTGAGGCTAGTGGGCCCTTGAGTGGGGAAGGGATCCCATCCTGCTCCATAGGGCAGACGAGCAGCAAACCCCTCTCCATTTGACCATCCATCTCTTGAAGGATAACCAGGTGGAATGAACAACTGGAGGCATCAGTGATGATTGTTGCAGGTATTTTAATGTTGACACGCATACATATATCTATGTATATGTGTGTTTTTGCACTGCCTTCTCAATAAAAACAATAGATACATAGAGTTTATCTATCTATTTATATATATATATAGTTGGTAGAAATATCTCATTATGTTATCCTAAGTAGCAAACACGGTTCCAAACAACTCACAAAACCTCAGACTTTTAAAGTTTCTTCTTTAAACCTTGACACCTCTGAATATTGATTACAGTGATGAATGTGATGCTGGCTTTTGTGAGTTGTTCACCATGTCTCTATTTTAAGTGTGCTTAGACCACATTGTAAGTGTAAATGTATGCGAGATGTACTTCCCAAACTTTTCAGAATGTTTTCATATGGCAACCTTAAAATAGCACTGAATGTTATCGCATTGCCACTGTCTCCAATCATTTGTGGGAGCAGCATGCGTCTGCTGTAAATGTGTGAACGTTATTTTTTTCTTTCCATGGAAATTTGACTTCTTTTAAAAAAAGGCCACATGTGGCAGTCTAACCCTTGGCATTGAGTCTGTCAGCTGTCTTTGACTGTGGGATTGCAGCCTCTCCCTGGTTCAGCCCCGAAGGGGGGAGAGACCCCTCCCCTCCCGGGGTTACTTACTCCACATGGTCTAATCAGCCACCTTGGACCTGATATGTTCAATAGGGTTCATATCTGCTTCTTGACCCAGTGGGTTGTGATTCTTTTACTCCCTTTACATCTTTTCTTTTGCACAAAATGGCACAAAATAATTACTTTAGATATGTTTTGAGAAAAGGGTTCTCAGAAAATGGATTCATGATTTGATAATGATTGATGTATTTCATGTTTAATTCCACTCTTTGCTGTGCTGTGCAGTGAAAAGATGGAAAGAAGCCTTGAGATGACTGAGAAGGCAGTGTAAAAACATTGGGAAAAGCCTACAGTATGTGAGTTTAATGACAATAATTATTGTCTTTAAGTTAAGGCACTCAATAACCTATTTTAAAAAAAAAGGTGCTGTATATTCTGTACTGGCTCTGGTAGGAAGTAGCTCTATTACTTGGAGCTGACCCATTTTGGATTTTCCGTAAAATGCTACACCACAGAATGTTCATCCAAATATTTTACTGATAATAAGAAACTTCCCAAAACACAAACAATACACTTAGATATTGATCACAAATGGACAGAGAGTTTCTTTGCATTTGTAATTTTTGTGATTTTATGACACTACTCAGTTACCTCTCGCTTTTGTACTACTCTGGTGCAGACATAGTCATATTTGAACAGCACACCAGTCAATAGTGAGTGTTCATCCCCGATTTAATCGCTTAAATCTTAAAACCAAACATTGGGTCTGATCTTGTATGTCTTCGGATTTACTTGCCACTCGCATACTGTATGTTTTCCATAGATATGTGTTTATTTTCTAGTTCAGAATCCAAATCAAATCTCACTCCAGCTGTTCCTTTCACTTTGAATGTCCTTCTTTCTGCATATTCAAATTTGTCTTCCAGAGGGATATGATGTTGTGGATGGGATCTCTTTACTAAATGACGACATGATAGAGGATGATGACGGTGCTAGCTCCTCTGCCTATGTGGAGCTGGAGAGGCTGGAGAGAGAGACTGCTGCTGCTCGCAGCCACCACAGTACTAGCTCCACCGTAACAGCCATCTCCGTCCCACCGGCATCCCCGCCTTCATACAGGGTCCCCTCTGACTCACCCATAGCCTCTGAGCCGCTGGTCCCTCAGGCCCTTCAGGCCTTTAAAGAGTCTGCTAACATGGTTGCTGCCTTCAACATGCAGTGGAAGGACGAAATCTCAGCAATGCGCTATGAACTGGCGGAGCTGCGTAGAGATGTCTGCGGGGAATTGAAGACTTTCAACAGTAACTTCTTCAACTTTACTCAGTGCTACAACATGTGGACTTTCTGCCGGGAGCCTTGCAGCGACAGAACCACGCAAACGGACGACAGAGTGTCCATAGGAATTCAAGCAGGCTCAAGTTGGTCCATTCGACAGAATAGAGAGGACAAGTCAGTGATGTGCCAACCAGAGCCAGCACCCTTCAGCATTATGGATTTGATGGACCCCCCCCGAATTGAGATCATAGAGGGAACCCCCGAGAGCACGCCAGAGGGGTCAGGCAGCCCTGCCAGCCCACATCCAATAGAGGATTTCCCATGGGAGATCAACAAAAAGCAAACGGCCCAGAAGCAGCCAGACACAGGTGGCCACACAGGTGGTCACAGGAGCGCCAGTCTAGAACTGTGGAGCAGGAAGTACACCAGTGGGCCCATGTCATATCTGTCTATGTCATTCTAATCATTCCCATTCTACGCATCCTGTAAAGTGAGATGAGGAAGCCAGGGTAAAAACCTGACATTTACCAAGAAAGGCAGAGCAGAGCTGTTGTTAGATGTCCCTTTACTCTATGCAGACACAGAGTCTGTCATCTCTTGAACAGGTCACAATGTTGTTCAAGCAATCTTTGAACAAGTGTCTTGGTTAGCCATGGATAAAAAGAGAATGACTTTGTTTTACACCAGAATGAGGTGACATAAGAATGTGAGAGAGAATGTGGCTTATGCTCAGATCCTCAAGTGCCAACAAGTGCAGCATCATCTTCCCTCCGCTGTCTTAAATACCCAACCTTCAGAGGAAAAGTCAATTCAAGTAAATATGATCGGCAATCTGAGGGTCACTTAATGATAAAACTCAATAATCAGCCATTGTGAGGTGATGCATAAGTGGGTCCGTTTCCTCAAATAAATAGCTCATGTTCATTCCAGTTTCTCTTCCTGTAGAAACATTCTCTTAAGCACCTGAGTATACTGAAAAAATACTGTGAATAACTTTATAAACCCTAGTTTTCTAATGAATACATTAAAGATGAATACATTATTTATGAATATATTGATATATAATTTACTTTTTAGTTATTCTAATCAAAGCATTCCTTTTCCATTGCCTTCCTTCGTCCGTTGTGTAGCCAGGTCCAGTAAAACATTTTTGAAAATGTCCAATTTGCAAAGGTTTTCTCAATGGAGAACCACACAGAATAAAGAAGTAACTGTAATAATTTGATAATAAATTAAAAAAATAGATAGTGCTGACAGCAACTTATTCTAACATTTGTGAAAGCCTAATCCTGGAATACTGATGGATGACACTGTCTCAAGGCTTTGTGGACTTAGTCCCTTGCTAAAATTGTTTACGATGAATCAATTGTGACCGACTAGACTACGTCTAACAGCGCGTGGAGAGGAAACAGTAAGGGAGATTCTCAGTGATCGAGAATTGTGAATGTATTGGCTTCAGTTCATTCTTGCACAAACTGCATTCATTTTCAAACATGTGTATATGTATATAAATGTACCATTTTGTAAATAGAGAAACTTATATTCAATACTTGTACTGTTGCAGTTATTAACACCCATTTCTGCCAGTGTTGAGAGGGGTTCAAATAGTAATTGTGGTTCTAAACCAAACACAGCACTTTCTCTAGTCTTCAAGGTCTGTCTTCATTTATTTCATCATATTCATCATTTGTGCACCTTAAAAATGGAAGTTGGTAGTTCATACCAGTGTTTCGACTATTGTTTTTCTTGCAGTGGGGACTGGAGGTTCTTAAATGTTTGGTTAAGTGTCTTAAGTTCATTTTTAGTCTAGATGAAAAGGAAAATTAGTGTTTTGGAAAATGATGTGAAGAGATTTGAACTAAATTCTACCATATTCACCTTTTTTAAATGCCACGTTTCTCTAGTAACGGTGCAATTTTTCATGCTGGGGTGGTTCATCACTGCTGAAAGATAACAGAGAAACATTGGTCCCTATAAGTAGACAATCAGAGCCACTGAGGGCCTCTACCTCTCCGACATGTTGCCAGAGGTGCAGTATAGTACCACTGAATGTACTAACACCGCCTCACTAGTGACGGCTTTTTCTGGGTTCCTGTCAAACCATAATGACAGGGAGCCCTCAATCATCTGCTGTATTTGGCCAACTGCTCATTTTGTCTGTTATTCATAGTATAATAGTTGCTCATGAGCCACTGGCATTCCCCTCAACCACTCATCTAGTCCACTGTCCCATTGCACCAACATGGCGTACCAAAGTTACTGTAATACTGAGGCCAACAACAAACATCTCCAAGCTCGACAGCACTTATCTCTGGACGATCACTGCAGCACAGGATCATGGGAAGCCTGTATGTATCAGACCCCTGACTGAAATGTGAACCCTTCAAAAGGACCTTTAACAAAGGAGAGGCATCATCTCTCACTTTATGAAGAGAGTGGATCTTCTTCCCCCTTTGCACGGCCAAAAGACAATACTTGCAGAAAAAGTGGTATTTTGAAAAAGATGATATTCATGCGAAAGGTTGTACTCGAGGTAAGATCGAAATTAAAGTGGAAGCCACGGAAGAAAGAGAGGCAGACATTTATTTATTAATGTCATTATTGCAGTAGCGCCGCCCCACACACACGTTGCAGAAACTCATTAAACCTGAGCTTAAATGCTTACATAAATGATTCATTTGCCTTGATAATCTAATACATGTGTTACAGAGGAACACTATGTTCAGGCATGTTTGGCTCGAAACGGGGAACTTGAGGTTTTGGTACAACGAATAATAGGTAAGGAATAAGTTCCAATGTATTATTGCCATTCGCCATCATTTGCAATACAGAATAAGAATTTTAAAAAAGATTATAATCTATTTATTGTTGTTATAAACCCAAACAAACTCAATTTTGAGTTTTTCATCATTGACCGGCCAAAGGTTCGGTTAGCATAAATCATAAATGATTTTAGGGAAAGGCATATAACTGTGAGAACATTTAGCAGATCACCATTTTAATAGAATATATATATATAAAGTATATATATATATATATAAAGTATATATGATTTTTTTTTAGGAAAGTCTTGTATTCATTTTTTTTTTGCTTTTTGAGGATTGCAGTGGCATTCCTTACTTACATCTTTTCCCATTGTTTGGGGAATGCAAACTTATTTAAAAGGTGCTGAAGACTGGTAAACCATGATGTCACCAATTTACATCCATTCATTCTATGCAAGTCTTTGTTCTTTGTTGTAATTTTACATCATCTAAATATTTGCAGTTATTGATATTAGGTATTTATTTATGTTAAGACTTCATTCGAGTCATCAATGCCGGGAATGGAATGATGTTTTCAGAAAATATTGGTGGCTCTCTTTTATTTTCTTTCAAAGAATATTTATTTAATTGTATTATTTCTGCATGAGCTAGGGGGGCCACACTTAAGGTTGTTTTAGTGTTTCCTGGCAGACAGTTGTTTCATTTAAATTTTTCCCATTTTAGCTTATATGTAAACTAGCATCAAAGAGTTTGTTGGTGAGATTCCTGCATAGTGGTAGCATCCGTGTGCTTTCATCATATACAAAAGAAAAACAATCATAAGTGTTTTATTGTCAATTAATTTACTGACAACTGTACAGCAACATTAGAAAACAAAGCCTATGATAAAATAATTGGAAATGCTGTACAAATGCTTAAAATGTTTCTAAATTTATATCTAATTGAACAGCAAACTGGCGATTGATTGATCCCAGGGAACTCACCCATGCTTTAAAAAAAAGATTAATCCAGTGTGTTATTACCATTTCATCATTCAGCCCAAAGAAATTTACCCTTCCCTTAAAACAAGTTGAAATGTAGCAAAATACAGATATTAAAGTATTATTTTAAAAAGATATACCTAAAAGATGTACATTTAACAAAGACTGAAGAGGAAATAGACAAAGGGTATTTACAATTATTTTTTAACCATGCAACCATATTTTCTGTAATGAAATATATCATTATTTTGTCAGAAGAAATCTGAATTGTCTCCCTTATATGTGACAGTATGTAGTCAATTACCCCATGAGTTTTTGTTTACATTTTGTTGTCATCCAGAGATCTGATGCAACAACTGTGCCGACTCTGACGTCCAGCTATTAGGACAAAGGTTTTTTGGATGGAATCTGATCTCACCTGAACCTGTAACACTGCTTGAATATAAATCCTTTTCTACCCCTATGTTCTCTTCCTGCATTTATTCAAGGTTTCTTGGAGGAAACATGCTACTATGTTTCGCATCAATCATGTTGCAAGTTTCAGGGATCTCAGACTGAATTGTTCAGTGAATCAGACTTTGTCAAAATGACGAGGCACCTTTTGAAAACCGTAGCTTAGCCGACATTTGTTAGCTTATGGTTATTTTGTTTAAAAGAATGAAACCAGTATGTGATGCTTTTGCTCTTCTTTTTTTTTTTTGTTTGCTTAATGTGGCGTTTCTTGTGAATTTTCTTTTATTGGCCTTATGTATTTTTCGTACATTGAGATAAAACAATGGATTAAAATGTTTATGATGTTTATGGCAATTTAAATGGCAAAATGGGGGTCATAGCTTTACAATGGCATCAAAAGATGAGAATGACGTATCGCATCAATAATATCTTTTGTGTCCGTAGGGAGGACGACACACTTTAACACACCGCAAATACACCGCATGGGCCAGGCACAGTGTCTTTTACTTTGACCCTCTTAATATGCATTGCTTTTCTACTAAGCTATCACCTTTTTGTTTGTTTGTTTCATTTTTCTTTTTTTTTTTCCCCCATTTTAGGCGTCCGTAGCTTAGCTGGGGGGCGTAGAGAGTACGGTAGGTCTGGTAGGGAACCGCTTTATTCTCTTTTTTTATATATATGTTGTTAATACACTTTTTCATACATTTTGTCTGACTCATTAACATTTTTCACAAAAATAAGATCTATCATTACTTGAAAATGCTGTCATACTCACTAAGTATGTATAATTTATTTAAATGTTTTCATCTGTTTCCACATTGAATTCAGTGGAATTTTCAAGAAAACCAGAACATCTGTTGACTACTGTCCCACATGTTGGCCTTGTGTTACCACACTGGCATTTATTGTACAATGTCGACTGCGTTTGAACAGTGAGACACAAGAATAACTGTTCCGTTTAAAATCTCTTCTGCACAACTGGTATGTACTTTAACTGAGACGTGCATGAAGCATTTTAAAAAATCCATGGAGAATATTTAGTTGGTTTGTTTTTATTTATTATGATTTATATTACTGTTCTGTTCAAATCCATTGGTATCAGAAGTGATTCACCCTCTTGCTTTAACCATTGTATACATTTTCTTTAAGCGAACAGAGGGGAATAAAATCAGCACACAGTAGTGTGTCTTTATTTTAAATATCCTGGCATGCAGCAAGGCCGGTTATGACCAACATAACAGCTTTGTTCTACAAACCAGCACAAATCAATGCCGCTTTTAGATGATATCAATCAGGTTTTCATACTCAAATTGTACAGTTGTTGATGTATAAAAATACTTTTTTTGCTTCTGTATTCATGTTAGTGGCTTTCAGTACTTGTGATTTTGACAGTGATGGCATTTTATATTCAGCATATACTACTACTACCAATACTCAAGCTTAATTTTAAAGGTGGTGGGTGATGGATTTACACTAGAATGTATAAGATGGTTGCAGATTCTGGCATACTAAAGTAATTCAAACATGGACCATTTTTATGCAGTCTACACACAATCCTACGTACAGGACTATACTTGTAGGTAGAGTATCATATGTGGAAGTTATTGATTCTATGAATGGTCTAAAACATGCAATTCTATCACAAACTATGCACATTGTGTGCGCCAAAATTCTATTTATAAAGATCTGTTCATAATAAAATGTTAATATTTATTAGCAAAGTTGATATTCAGCTGCAATTGCTGTAATGAAGCAAACCCACTCTAACGGCCCAACTAGCAGCAGAATCAATGAATGGTGATATCCCATAGTCTGTCAGCTGTCCCACATGTCAGTTCAAAGCAACATAATAAAGAAGATATTAAAGATTTGTTGAGATTCAGATCCCCAAAGGATGAATCTTAAAGTTCTGGGTGAACCCATGACCTCTCCTATAGTGCCACCACCAGGCCAAAGTTCCCATGTGTACTATGATGTGTACACACTTTCTGAGCACATGCACAATGGATGAAATGTTTATGTTTTGGAGTGTTATTCTAGTGCCACTCTGAGACCAAAATGTTATCCTTGCACACACAACATATTTTAACCTAACAGGCAGCTTACAATAAAAGTTACCCAGAAGATTCAGTTCTTGAAGAGGGTGAATCCATGTTTATTAACTCTTTAGCTTTTCTTCTAGTCCACCATTCTAGACATACATATCATTTTAACTCTTGGTAATGCTCAAACTATAGCAATATGGTCAATATGTTCTTGGTTTAGTCCAACACTTATGATCATAGGGTACAATGAACTTTACAGCTACTATGGGCTTTTTGTTTAAGTTACTTTTCCCTTTTTTTCAGAGAAGGTTACCTGTTTTGGTGGATTTCTTTGAAAGTTTGTTGAAATAATACTTTCAGGCCATTGATTTGTATTGGTTTGTTGTGATATTTCATACATAAACGGTAAATCCACCTTGCATCCATGGGGGCATCACCACTGTATGTATATATGTATGTGGCTATGAGCAACATGCTTGTTTTGTTGTGCGACTCTTGAAAAAGGGGCTACACAAACCTACTTTCTAAATTTGGTAAATCCAGCAGAATCAGCTGGAATCACTGACCTATACACACCCTCACGTCCTGCCAGTTGTCCTATGTCAAACCATCCATCCATCCATCCATCCCCCCATTTTTAGATCCATCCAGTCATCCAACTTTGCTAACCATCAGTCCCATACTCAAGCTCAATACTAGGCCTGAGGAAATATCTTCAGAATGGTTGGGTCATTGATCAAATAAAATAATAAATTCCCCAAAGTCAATCTTCTTTTAGCTAAACACAGCAACTTATTTTGCCTGTGGTGATATGCATTTTTTATGCAAACCAAAGAAATGCCATTAAGGTGAGCAGGAACATTTTTTCAAAAGAAATACACAAGCAAGATGTAAGGTAATCCTGGAGTGTATCGCTGAATAGACATTTTACTGATACAATGTAAGATCTACAGCAATCACTGAATGCATGTTTTTTTAAAGTTATTTTTACATTAAGGATGCTGTGATGCCTAACGATAAACAAGCTACATTGGCTTCATGAAGAAAAAAGAAGTTAGAGTAGGCTACGAGCAACACATGCAATTATGTAAAATAGAAGCAGAGCTTTCAACTTGTTTGTCCTTACACAGCACGCACTCCCTGATCATTGCTCTAATGTGACGAGATAAAGCTGTAGGCCATGATTCTTAGGCTTTAGACTACAATGATTTTGCAATATAAGTACTAGAATATAGATAAAAGGAAGATAAAAGACACTTGCTAAAATGGAGTGAAGATAGATAGTCACTCAGTCATCATTAATACAGTCTGAAGTGAAACAAAATAGTGTTACATTAAATCCTGAGAGACATTCACTTTGTTACATCTTCAGCCCCCATGCTCATGTATGCAGCTCGTCAGACATTGCACGCCATTAAGCCACACCCCATCCTGCCCCGAGTAAGAACAGCATCTCACCTGCCTCTCTGCCAGTCTGAGTCCACAACTATGGCAAGAACAACCTCTGGCACAAATGGAGGGAGTCGGACGGGGAGGAGACGCAGTCAGAACTTTTGCAACGCTTTTTTCTGAAATTTATGTCTTGGCCACAAAGGAGAAAAAGGTTTGAGGGGCCTTGTTGAAAAAGCACGAGAGGGAAGGTCTGTTTCTTATTTTCTGCATCAAAACATTTATGAAATGACATTAGGTCACACTTTACATAAAGTCAATGTAAGTACCATAGTTTTCATAGCACCTACATTATCAAACTTGAATCTCACCTGCACTTCTCATGTTCACATGGTAAAGTGTGAGCATGATCAGTGATTATAATTCCATTTCCAGGAATTAGCTCCGATCATGATTACATGTATTTAAAGTGCAGCAAGGTACTTGCCTTTCATGTAAAGTATGGCTTACGTTCATGCAGCCAAATACAAAGTAAGTAAACTGTAAATATAAGTGGTGTGGTCACACCTATTTGGTATAATATTTAAAAAAATGTGAATGTGAAAAGTGGAACTCCATATGCTGTAGTACAGCATGCAACACTTTTCAATATATTACTTTTTTGCATCACCAGTGGCAGTCAAGAGTTAAAAAGAAAAAAATAGACGGATAGACTGTCTTGCTTTTACATTTAAAAACATGTTCTATGTCTGGGTCTCTCAGCACATTTTGTCTGATTGTCTTTGTTTGCCTTCTATCTAAGCCTTATTTATGTTAGATCTACAAAAAGGCCACTTGCCAGAGACTGAAATTGTCCTATTCAAGTTCATGTTTGTGTCATTTTCCCACAGTTGTGGAGTGGCTAATTAAGTGGTTAATTATAACGACTGTCTGTGTGTCTCCGATTCTAAGTCTTTGTCTGTACATGACATTTGCTTGGCCTTATACTCCAAAAATTGCAATGTTCTGCGCACCTCTCAGGAGACACACTGTACTGATAATAAACCAAGTTTAATACTTGAATTTTGTATATTTCTTAATATAATATCCAAAGATTGGAAGATATGAATTATCTTGCCAGTTAAAACCATTAAATGGAACAATTTAAATTGTTTTTGTTAAATCCTAAATTTTCAAATTTGAGTTGAGTTTCATATTTATGTTTCGATAATGTCTGCTATGTCTTCTATGTATAATAAGATAATGTGTAGCTGTCTGTTTTCAGATTGAGATGATGCATGTTATCTAGTGCCTGATTTGTAAGGATTGATCTTAAGATAATGATACATGAGGGCAATGCAGATGGGCATTCGTAACAACCTTGGTATATATCAATTCTTCGAAAGGCTTGAGCATTTATTTTTGTTAAAGACAATAAAGCTGATTTCCATTTTCTTTCCCAATTTGGTCCATTTTGGATCATCTTTTGCCACTTCCTTAATTTAATTGTGATTCTATCGTTGGTTATATAATGCCGAAAGACATTTTTGGACAACATTGTATATTTGCAAAAGCAAAAGGGAAGAAGTACAAAGTCTAGACAAATGCATACATATTCCCCTGCCAATACGTTTAGTTTTCACCTCCACTAGAATTGATGCCCATGAGCATTGCCCAAGTTGCAAGTTTTATCTGCATTTTGAGACAGAAACACAGCAAATGCATGATAACGGCTGTTGCCCAGAAATCAGCATTTCTCATTTTGTTCTATATGTGGTGAATCAGTGACTAAGAGTTTGTTACTGTAAAAGTAACTCGCTCATATGACTTCATTATAGGCCAAATGCACATTCAACGTTTAGGAAAAACACATTGATGTGACCCATTTCTAACACTGTAAAGTGAGCATATCTGTGTTTCTCTCTCCCCCTGCCTGTTACTGACGTACTGTTACTACTGGATAAGCCTAAAGAAAGCTTTCTGTAAATATGTTTCAATGAGCGTTAGACCTCTTGGAGTTAGTTATGGTAGGTATAGAGATATTCACTGTAGGTGTGCACTGGTACCTGCGTGTTTCCTCTCTAACTGGTGTTGCTTGCTCCTTGCAGGGATTCAGTTTCGTCTCCCTACTTCCTGCAGTGTGGACCGCGCTCAGCCACCTCCAGGTACCAGCACGTCTCCATCGCCTCTCTCTTCCTCCATACTAGCAGCAAACTACATTTCAGTTGCAGTCATACATCCATGGGTGTAGTGACGGGGGTCCCACTACTTTTGCTTCCGATGAAGTAAAGAAGGAGGGTAAATCAAATGTAATATCTTCCGGTTTAAAACACGGCTCGTTCGAGATGAGCCAAGCCCGCGCGCATCGGAAACCGGTTAAAGTTCTGTCCGAGTTGATCCCAACTTCTCTAACATCATGCACGCGTGGGCAACGATAACGGTGTTTAAATGCAGGCGCAGCGGTTGCTCCCGACCGACTGCAAGAACCAGGGCATGATGAAACCCCCGGTTGTCACCTGGCCAAACAGCTGATTGGCTCTTAGTTTTGACAACAAACAGAAGCGATAGAAAAACCTTCTTTTCTGTGTAATTGTAATATTTATTGCTGATGTTGTGCAATGAACGTTTAATCTGTTAACAAACATATCTTGTGTGGTTGATAACAATGATAATAATAATAAGAAAAATGTATTATATTTATTTATAGGTATTATCAAAACGAGCGGCATTTGTGCTTTACAGGGTAGGAGAATAAAGGACAGAATGCAATGCTGATACATTTCCAAATATATATAATTACACATTTTCCGAATGTAGTCTAGAAAAGTACAAGTAGCCTACAAATTGGATCTAACAGGATACTGTATATTCCTGTGACTTCCTATATATTCTTTGAAGGCTGCTGGAAACTATCCCGCTTGACCGCAGTTTCTTCAGCGCCACGTGCTGCTGCCGCCTGACTTAGAAAATATGCTAGTCCAAAAACCAAGGTTAAAGTCACTGCGAGGAACTTTTAACTGGTTATGAAACATTCTCAATTTAATACTGATGCCTTTATATAACCTAAATAAGTAAAGAAAGCCGTTAGCGAGAACATTGGTTATTTCGACACAGTTATTCTTAAATGGTTGTCAACGCGCCACCGGGTCGGATTCCGCACAAAACCAGATGAAATCCTGCAGGTTCACCAAAAAGTCTTTAAGCTCAGACTCCAGTGACACCTCCGGCAGCAACCGCATACTGACCCAGTTCTGGCTTCACTGTCACCTTCGATCTATTCATTTGGAAGCTCCGGCAGGAGGAGGAGATCTCAGCGCCCGGCAGCAGCGTCTCCTCCTCCGGCCAGGAGCAGAGCTTCACCTCGCTCCTCCGCGGTCCCCCGCTGGGAGCCCACACCAACTCCACGCTGCTGGAGGCAGTTGCCTGTTGCTCCGCAAATGTTCTGATATGATAAGCCAGTGTCAGGCACGCTATTGATTCACTGTGAGAGTTGATGAATTTAGAAATGGCAACAGAAAGTAACTAGGTTGGATATAAAGTGAGTACAGGGAGGAGATTACATGAGGATAAACTGTAGGTAGGTGGGTTCATTTGTGTTTTGATGCAGAAGCATGTCCCTGCAGATTATATGTCAAAATGCCTGTTTTGGGTATACCAGCTTTTAAGCAGAGCAGCAACACAATATTATAGCATGACATTCAGGTGCACTTAGTCTGGCTGCACGTCCAGTGTGTGGTTCTGTTTACTAGACTGCCGAGTGCAGCAGTGCTAAACCAAACAATCAAATTCAAACACAGCGAGTTCTGACTGACTACACAAAGGACAGGGTATATCAGCCAAACTTTAAATTAAAGCCGTAGCATTTGAAAGGGAAACCGCTGTACACTAGCCATACGAATGTACTTTGTTGCCCTTTCCATCTTTTCTTATTGGAGATTAACTTAAGTATGCTAGTTGAGTAAATGTACAGAGAGACCACTGCTCAAATCAACTTCAATAAATGTACTTTTGACACTTTGGCAGTGTATAATTCAGCTCTTCTAGCAGTGACTATGCACAGTCTATAGGAGGACATCTGGTGTCCAGTCAACATTATTGCAAGACATTGTGATTTCTTTTTCTTTTGGTCAGTTTGAGAAGAGCAGTGATAAGCGAAATCTTATCATGTGGTGGTTTGACAGCCTATGAGGAATCAGCACATTAAGTATCTTCACGAAACAACATTAGCATTATTCAGTAATTATGCCCATAAATGTAGGTGTCTAATGAAACAAATGTTTTTGCAAATGTCAATCCATTTAGGCAAGCATAACATTTATGAATGAACTGCAGAGCAACTACTGCTGACTCAACTTCCAGTCTGATGATGAGGCTAATTTAGAGTATCATCATTAACTCACCGTTTGTTTGTTACCGCTCTCACAGCACATCTCCACTACGAAGTCTAATGTTGGAGACCCTATGGCCTTTCATGTAGTGCCACCATTAGATCAAACATTGTGTTGCATCTCTCCAAAGTAGTCAAGAAACCCCATTCATCACTTTCACTGCCTACAACTCAGCCATACTTGATAAAAGATATTAGAGTAAATATACTGTACTTTATATATTATACATTTTGACCAGGATGGATTTCTTTAAAACAAGGTGAGGTTCCATAGAATAAAAAAGTTAGGTATATGTTTTACATGTCTTTAAAAAGATTATGAGTTTATTGTAATGTTCATATAATTTAATTTACTACTACAGTTTTTAATCAGATATCTCTGATGCTAATTTTGTAAAAAATTATTGAAAAGTCAGAAAGTTTTAGAAAAGCCGTGGACATGGAAATAAACTATTATTTTAACATCCTGATGGTTCTTCTATACACATGATAATTGTGACAAAAATCACCTGAGTGACCTGACTTTAATATGTTGCCTTGGCCAATGAATGCAATGTACCCAAGACACATAGATAGTGGAGGTATAGGAACATGGAGAGGTTCATGTCACTGACTCTGTATCTGGTACCAACAAGCAATCTGTAACATTTTCAGTTTTGAAAGTAAGTCAAATTGGTAGAATGTGTAAAAATAGAACGTGTGGAGTTGAGTGCTGCCTGAGTCACTGTGCTCTTTTCATTTTGGTATCCACCCACTGTGTCTTGCAGAACTGCAGCCCCTTCAGGTTGGAAGGAAGTCAAGTCTGTGACTGGATTTAGCTTAACAGAGTTCCCTGTGGTTTCTTATTTCTTATTGCACTTAATTACCTGTAATCCAAAGTGATTCGTGTGCGTGTGTATGTGTGTATGTGTGTGGGGCTCTGCCTGCACCTGTTTACGCCAGTATACAGCATGTGTTTGAATAGGTAAAGCACAACAATCTTATTGTATTTAGTAATGCAATGTTTAGTCTGAAGAATATTGTATTTTGCTCTAGAAATGTATATATGTAATAAATGAGGAAAAGTATAGGAGACTTGACAAGAGAATGATTTAATTAATTGATCAGAAGCACTGTAGGGGTGAGAGGCTGAATGCTCATAAGGGCCATTATAATAGTCTTGACTCTTGACACAGTTTATACTTGTTAAGAATGTTTGCATACTTCATGCAGATTTAAGGTTAACATTTGAAATTAACTCACAAATGGGTATTGTGGATATCATCGATTGTGCTCAGACTTGAACGAACGAATGCTATTTTCTTTAGATTAATGGAGCAAACTTACTTTACATGTATTGCTATCTCTTAAAAGAGACATCTTCATTTACCAGGATTTTCAAAATGTGGATGCTGAGCAACTACATGTTAATTCAGTCCTTATGATAGCTTCGAAAAAAAAGACATCTAGCCAGTGAAGTTGGTTCTTTTCCAACTCTGCTGTGAGGTCCATCTGGATGGATTACCATCAGATTTTCATTTGCACTTAAAAGAGCAAATCTTCCACATAATCCTTCATTGCTCCTCCCCAATAAACACAGTCATACTACAAAGCTGCTGTTGCTTTTCACCTTATACTTACATTTCCCTTGCTTTAAGTGCTTAATGCCTAATCTCACATCATGCTATGACGCTCTTCTATCACACACACTGTGTGATCCAGGTGAACTGCAGCACTTGGCCCTTGTCAGCTTCTGGCCACATTTTTCATTCTCATGTTTTATTTTATCCTCTACCCTTGTCTTGCCTTGTCCTCGTCCCTCTCATCCTGCTTGTGCTATCCAGCGGTATCATATCCTTCCAGTTACAAGAAGACTCCACCTCCTGTGCCCCCGCGCACCACCACCAAGCCTCTTATCTCTGTGACAGCCCAGAGCAGTACAGAGTCCACCCAAGATGCCTACCAGGAGGGCAGGCATCCACGGGGCGGTCTGTGGACCACGGATAGCCTTGGTCGTCCCATCTACAGCTCCGTGGACAGCCTGGACAGCACCAAGGCTGTCACCATGGCCATGGAGTCGGCAGCAGGCAAGAGGCATGCATCTTTGGGCAGCCACACCTCCGTCCAGACGTGTGACAAAGCAGTGCTGGTGTCCAAGGCCGAGGAGTACCTCAAAACCCCACGTTCCTCTATTGGGATACAGGTAACAATGCCACTCAATTTGCTGCTCTCTTTGCATTCACCACACTCACAACCCAGCCTCCATGCTAACTACAACAATCTCATCTGTCTCCTTCTATCTAGTCCTGGCTGAAAGGATATATTAATATGTATGAGAGGTGCCCTGTAAAATCCAGTCACAGTAAAACCATCTCTCAGAGTTCTCAGTAACTTAAATCAACCCAACGCCAATGTTATTAGAACTCAACAGGCACATTGTTATGTACTCTAGGTAGTTGTTTCAATTGCATTGCACCATTGGATTATTATCTGACAAGAGGATTAGGGTTCTTTATTGAAGACTTATTCTGTGTCCGCATCCCCAGGCAGACTTCACAATGCTGAACTAGCAGTATAACTACACGTGCAAATTAGTTAATCCTGTCATTTTTTTTGGGGGGGGGGGGGTATTACAAATTCACCGAATGTACCAATCTGTGTGAAGTACTTTACAAGGTTTTGGAGGCTTGTTGACCTTTACAAGTGTCAGGCTGTATTACATGGACATGGCTTATTCAAAAGCAGCAGTGATGAAGAGCCACACGAGGATCTCTCTTACTCTTGTTGTTCTAGTTTGTGATCTGGCTGCTTAACCTGTTCTTCTTGAGATTGCTGGTAGCTTTGGCCGGATCATATCAGAGCCAGAACCTGAACAAGTAGTTCCACCATAAGATCGGGATTCTGCCTTGTGCGCTAACTGTCCAACCAACTTAGGTATAGCTCCTGCATCCTCAAATGTCCTCAGCCTTTAGCTCTGACTTTGGATGGCTGTCTGTGTGGACCATGGTGTACCTGCATGTCGCCCACAGACGTCTCTTGCGGACAATGCTGAGCATGGTGTCGAAAAGAATTGACGCTCCTTTTGCAAATGTAGCTGTTTAGAGAGGACACTGACCAGCTGGAAGCCAGCCAGTTGATGATTCTGTTTTAAGTTTCCTTTGTACCAAAATTCAGGATAAGGTTGAACTTGACATCTATGCAACTGCCCACACAGCAGCTGGTATCAGTAACACCAGGTTTAGGCAATCAATTAAGCTGTAGCTGGATTGTCAGAACCTTGGAAAGCACTGAATTGCATCCTCCAGACTATGTATCATTGTGTATAATTACAGAGTGGTCTTGTTTGGGACTCAAACACCGGCTTTTTGCACTGGCTTTAGGTTGAACAAAGGACTGGTGAGCAGTGGCAATTCATTCCTGACTGTGAACCTCTCGTGTTCTTGTGAGGCACTTAAAAGACACCTGTAACAGCATCATTACAGGCCTATATCATAGACTATGTCACTACGTCATACGAAGTTGACGTAGTCACCATGACGCCATCCATTGGTTTGTGAACTGCAGCTTTGAAGCCTCAAGTTCGGCATTTTGGCCGTTGCCATCCTGGCTTTTTGCAACCAGATGTGACAGTAGAGGGTGGAGCTAAGTACAATCGAACGCAGAATAAGACATTTTTAGGCGACAAAAACAGTTACAATTAACTCTCATGATGGAAACTCAAATCTTCTGTAATAAATAAGAAATCTAGTCAATATATCAACAACATTTGATGTGCATCTTCTTGGGCGTGACTGTTCATTTCAGTTGTTAATGATGACGACTTGGCGGTGTTCTGTTTTCTATATTCACCAGGTGGAAACTGTGACAGACTCTGAGACTGAAAGTAAAGGCCTTCCTCAATTCCACTCTATAGGGATCCAGGTGGAGGATCACAAACGGTATGTTGCTCAGACAGAAGAAACACAGTGTCCATAGTCAAAGTATAGTGCATTTAAAGTTGCATTTGTTAAGCGTTGTCCTTGTAACTTGTGCATTTTAGGCATGGGAGGTTCAAGCGCTCCAACAGTGTGACCACTGCAGTGCAGGCAGACATGGAGTTGGAGGGCTTCCCCTCCATGGAGGACAAGGGCCTGCAGTTTGGTGGCGGCTTCGGTCGCCACTCTGAGCCCAGCACGCCCACGCAGTATGGGGCCATCCGTACGGTGCGCACACAAGGCCTGTTCAGTTACAGGGAGGACTACCGGCCCTCCAGTGGGCCAACCAGCCCACAGCCTGAAACCTGGCTGGTTGAGCCCAGTCTGGAGGGCACCGAAACGGGCCGAGTGTCCCCACTCCGCAGGGACGGCAGCTGGTTCATGCAGCTCCTTCACAATGAAACCAAGCGGCTGGAGGGATGGTGCAAAGAGATGGAGAGAGAAGCAGAGGAGCATGACCTGACAGAGGAGAGTGAGTGTCCTGAAGGGAACTACATACTTGTCAAAACGGGAGCTGCTTTTGTTGTCTCAGGTCAATGCTTTCATGATATCATTTCTATATTTCTCTGTAATGACATATGCTCTATAATTTCTTTATATCTCTGTAATGACATAATGCTCTATCATTTATTTTTTGCAGTATGTATAACAGTAGCCAAAGTGAACATTAAAAGTATTAGCCGACATGCTGATTTTGAAAACACAGAATTGTGATCGGTGTTTTGTGAGCAGATTGGATCCATGTGAACGTCTTAAAGACATTGCTCAACATGTTAGCCTTCGCCAAGCTGTCATGCATAAAACCAGAATCTCTCTTTTTCTCTGTCTCTCTCTCTCTCTCTCTCTCTCTCTCTGTCGCTCTCTATCTCTCGCTCTCTCTCTCTCTCTATGTGTGCGTGTGTGTGTGTGTGTGTGTGTGTGTGTGTGTCCACCAGTCCTAGGAAAAATCCGGAGTGCAGTGGGAAGTGCTCAGCTACTGATGTCTCAAAAGTTTCAGCAGTTTTACTGGCTATGTCAGCAGAATCTGGTGAGTAGCATGTGTGTGTTAATAAAAACACCGTATTGACCGACATGCTGTCAATATGTTGCATGGAAAACCCCAAAGATCAGGGTTAAACTTGTTGATAGGCTTGTCTTTGTCAGAGCTCCGAAGGTGCTCGGCCTGGCGCTGCACTTGTGCTCCTTCCAGAAATAGAACCACATAGATCAATAGTGAAGCAGTCCCTCTGCCGCTATTGACCCCACAGTAAACGAAAGGGGAATTCCAATAGGTTGCAGCACCTGTGTTGAGGCGATCCATTAGTGGAGGCAGCAGTTTGAGCAGGATCTCAGAGTTTGAATAATGGACCGCCACGCCTTCTCACTGTTTAGCCCTCATGTCGACTCGAAACTCAGACCTTTTCAAATGCTAACTATTAATAGCGTCAGCATATATATCAGACTATGATAGTGTCCTCAGTGGGAATGTTTCTGCAGATACAGTAGAGGTGAAAGTATAGTGAAAAGAGACAGGCAGGCACTTAATCACACCTCACTAAAGCGTAGCTAATTGTTTGAGTGAAATTCAAAACCTTGTGGAGGTGGTTGAAATCTACCTGCTCTCTCACTGCCTTGTGTGTTGTTGTTTTTTCGTGCATTTGTGTGTGTGTGTGCCTTAACTCTGTGCATTGCTCTCTCTTGGATGGTTTCAGGCCGCACTCTCTCTCCCCGTAGATAATAAGATGATGAATTAAGTCCAACATTGGTTGTGACAAGCCTGAGATTGCCCTGAGCTTTCAAACGTGTCTGAATGAGAGAATGACTCTGTTTCCCTTCTGGACCGTGGAGGGACTGCACGATGTGTCTGTAAAAAGCTCCAAACGTGCTTTGAAGTTTGACTTGACAGACCTTGTCTTGGTCTAAGATCACACTAGTTCTGTGTTTACTGTCTGTGGTGATGAGCACATGTCTGTGTGTGGCTGCATGATGAGTGTGACCTGTGGTTTGCAGTTGACAGTAGGGAACAGCGGTGCATCACATGAATGCAGCAACATTGAGCACCGCATTTTCGTCATTTAAATTGTAAAGATAACACAGATAATTTTGCAAAATTATAGTAGAATGAAATAACGGTATATTATTTATTTCGACAAAAACATGTAATGACATGTAATTTGTGCACAAACAGCATTTCCTTCCCCCATGCATTCTGTCCTCACTGCATGGGACCGTAAATATGACCTTTAATAATTATTAATCATAGTTTTTGCCCCAGCACACAATAGACCAACTCAGCTGTTAAAAAAGAAGACACAACGAAAGGCAGTAAAGGGAGTAAGGTTGAGTTAATGAACCAATGTTGGTGCTGTGCTGCCACACAGTGGTGGGAATGGTGAGGTGGCTATGAGTAGCAAAATGTCCTGAAAATGAAGGCTGTAGTTTAAAACACAGATTTAGTATTTAAGTATTTCATTTCTTTTCCAATTATTTAGAAAATGTTTAGCTTATTTTTGTTGCTTTTTAATTTAAGTATGATGCATGTGGTATAATGCTGGTTGAGAACAGGTAGTACAAGGCTAAGGTTCTCTATTGTAGTTTGTTTAGTTTTGTTAGTGTTCTGCAATCCTGCACATACCAAAGAAGGACAGTACTTGAGTATTGTCTTGAGTACAAAACAACCCACTACATTGTGTACTCTTACTGTCTCTTCAGGACCCCAGTGCCATGCCCAGACCCACATCTCAGGACCTGGCTGGATTCTGGGACCTCTTGCAGCTTTCCATTGATGACGTCACTGCCAAGTTTGATGAGCTGCAGCAGATCAAGAGCAACCAGTGGCAGCTGGTGGAGAGCCCAGATAAGAAGGTAAAACTGGATCCATACACTCATTACAATTAGTCTTAATGGGTTCCAGACGAACTCGCTCAGCTTTTGAAGAAACTACACTAACAACATCTGCCTTCCTTTTATAGGCTTGTGACCAGTAGGAGGTTAATCGTTCCTGTCTTAACACTGCAGGGACAACTATTAGGAGGCAACACCAGTTCAGCCTAGACGGCTATAGCGTCTTCTAAAATGTTTTCCTTTAAAAAAAAAGAAAAAAAGAACTTCAGTTGAGTCTATTTGTGAACAATTTGGGACTAATTCTATCTGTCAGATCTGTATTCTCCATATTTATCTGTAAGTAAAATAGTTTTGACAAACAGGCTACATATTCTAGCTACTGACATACAATTGATAGCATTTTTAAAAATTTGATTTCAAAGCATGTCACTCTACAAAATGAAAAACATACAGCATTAAGAATATCAAACCATCCAGTTAAATCGCCAATACCCAACAGCTGAAATAAACGCACATTTGTAAGAGTGGTTCTTGTAGATGAGGATCCTTCAGGGCACTCGGATAATTATCTCCACGCTACAGTTGTAGTTGTAAGAGAGTTATTTACCTCCAGCAGTTAATAGGCACATTGCAAGCTCCATGAAGCCGAGCCCAAACAGTGACACAGATGCTCTGTATTGGGCTTCTCTCCTTCAAGTACACTTTTACACTAACGCCAGTTTGCCTTGCACTCGAAAGCTTCTGTGAGTGCTGGGTTAAGATTTGTAGGTCGTGTGGGTCAAATTTTAACGCCTTTACAGGTAAATGTTTGTAAACGGTAATGTTGTGGCTACATAACCAGTTTATATTTTCTGTAGTGTTTCTAGATGCCTTTCACATGAATGTCTTTCCTGGTAAATAAATATACAGGGCCTCAGCAATGGGGAGAAGGATGAATTCTCACTATTGAGGCAAAGTGGCCTCGGTCTGTCCACGACACACATGTACCCAAGATACCAAGAGTTCATATGTTAAAGGCTCACATTTATCCAAGGCTGTGCACTGCGTAGTGATAACAACTCCTATTCGCATTTAATTGACCTGTCCTGATTCAACATGTATCATGCTCTCCCCGGTCAATCTGCTGGTTAATATTGAGCTGAATAAATAGTCTCTCTTGTTTTTCTATAATGAGAAAATATACAATGACCAAACTTAAACAATATAAAAATGACCTCACTAGAATGAAAACAATAATGCTTCTGTAAGCTTTATTATGTGTAAAGGAAGTGTTTTCTGACAACGTTTGTCGTGTTTTCACTTCTACTTTATAGCAGAACAGTTATCAAAGAGGATGACTAGATAAATGTATTTCTAATCTATAATATCTGGCACACATCGTCACGCCTAACAATTGTTGCTGTACACCATTGATTAAGATGCATTGTTTGGTTTGCACTCCTCCCCTGTGAGTCATCCTGTTCTGTCAGATACATTGCAATAACAATAAGCTTTGTTTAACCACCTCATTCTGTGTCCTAAGGAGCGAAAGTGGCCACCACCTTTGCCAAAGCGGCCATCCAAGGGGCGTGGTGGTATAATGCGAGAGCGCTCTCTGGACCTTCAGGACCGCCAGCGACAGGAAGCCCGCAGACGCCTCATGGCTGCCAAACGAGCAGCTTCTTTCAGACAGAACTCAGTCACAGAGAGGGCAGACAGCATCGAGATCTACATCCCTGAAGCCCAGACACGGCTTTGAGGTCCACGGATTCATCCTAAGCTCCTCTTGTTCACCTCCACCCAAAATCAGCTCGTCACAACCAGTCCGCTGTCGTCATCTGTCATCGCTCCACCACTTTTTCATAATTTGTCGCCATTCTCTGGGTTGTCCCTGCTGAAGCTACACTAGGCAAGATTGCAGTTGTAAACGCATCCTTTTTTTAGCAGTTTAAACGACAAAGTGGCACGGCCATGAGGAAGAACGCCCAATCTCTCCCTGAGTAAGATGTCCCATAATTCAGGTTGTTTTCCCACAGAAAGTGAATGAAGCTCAAAACTGAGAAAATGGGACACACCAGCATTTGACTTTCTTCCTCTTTCCCTTTTGGTAAAACATGTATCACAGGCCAGCTGGGTTGTTAAACATGAGCCACTAACAGTTGAACAGTGAAGTTGCCTAGTGTAGCTATAATGAGAATACATCCCATATCCCAAAATAAACATTTCACCACTTTTTTTTCAATTTCATTTCAGCAACATTATGTCAAGTCAGTCATTTATTTGGTCACAACCATTACTGTTACAACTCCAGTCTTCATCTCCACTGTGAGTAAGGGTAATGCTATACGTGCCACATTCAAAGGGAAACACAAAGTGCCAGTTTTCTAGACTTTCTCACCAGCAACAATGGTCTTGGGCTGGAGCTCCCTGTGTGAAGGAACAGCGGCAGCAGAGATTGATGTTTCCCACAGTGACGTATCTTAGCGAGGCAAAAAAAAAAAAAAAAAGCCTTTGATATACGTTGAATATTGCCTAACTGCTGAAGGTTCACACTTTACACACAGCCTTTTCTATGGAGGTGGCTAAAAACCTGGTGCCGTGGTCGATCAATTTCCTGCCAGTCTGCGGTAGAACGGTATTAAAAATGTTTGACAGCGTGTCTGAGGTGCTGCACAACTTATATCATCCATCCATCTTTAACCAGGCATGCTGCAGCTGCTGACCAGTGTTGCTGAATGAGATCAGAAAATAAGGCTAAAAATCCTAGACCACATTTATTCATTTTCATTCATTTAACACCCGCCCCCCCCCACCCCCCCTCTTAGGAGTATACATTTTAAAGCTATGTGCGTTATTTGCTGCTGGATACATTTCCATTGCAGAACAAATATGAATTATTAACAAAAGAAAAACAGTTTTGCGCAGCCCGGAAGAGGTGACTGTATCAAACAATGCATTTTGCACCTTATAATATTCATGTTTGTATTTCCAAGGGAAATGTAGTTTATGAAGCTCATGTGATATTGTTGCAGTTGAATTGCAAGGACAGAAATGGAAACTTTACTACAGAATTTCATGTTACTCTATCGGTCATATAACCTGCACCTTGTGTTGTTTTGTTTACATTTCCTTCTGATGGCATTCGGGCCGCTCGTAATTACAATATTGTGATTCTAACACTTTGAATTCTTACAGTATCTATCATATGACCAGCATCACGATCTACGGTATGCGTTTCGTATTTAAAGTTGAAACAGTTGTGGGTTCATTTGACGGTGCGTTTGTCTTGCTAACAGAAACCATATCTCATAACACACAAGAAAACACTTCAGTTGTTATTCTTTGATCTGCTCATGTAGTCTAGGAAAGACAGGTGCAAATGACACTTTAACAATATTCAGTTACTATAGTAAATGGTGCTGCTTTTTACTCTGAAACTGTTGTCCTTTACCCAGTCCTATGTGCACGCACACACACACACACACACACACTCAAGGACTTTTTAAACAGAGATTTATTAACATGGTGCCCGTTGTCTCTCCGATGACTTGTGGTAGATTGTGACTTTAGAAAAGATCATCTTTGCAATGCTCTTGCCCTCAGTGATTCAAATGAGGAGAAGGTTTTTACGGTTTCACTTCCTTTCTATAACATGCAAAGAGGTCCGTGATATTAGCTTATCAGATGGGAGAGGTTACAGGCTTTGACATTCCACCAACCTTAAAGTAAAATTGAATATGCCCACCCTGAGCCAAGGGCATACTGCTAGCTGAACAGACTGCACTGTACCTGTCCATATGTCATATCACAGCAACAATGCTTCCCTAACATTTGCGGTACATGCGTACATTCATCCTCATTTGCCAATCTAATAGTTTATTAAAACAAATGTCGACACAGGGCCAATAGAATTATGCTGCATACAGTGTTTAATGTTTCCCTTTTTGTTGTAATTAGAATAGCACTCAGTCGGGGAGGGGCACTGTGTAAATACATGTGTGAGGGAGTGAGGCGTACTTGTTGGGATTATGATGTTTTTGTTTTTTGTTTTGCTTGCGTTGAGGCTTGTATTGACCAATAGCTTTTACTTTGTGACATGTCTTCATCAGCGCGAAATCTGAAACCCTTACCTTACCAGATGGCCTTAACCAAAACACTCATGAATGTAGAGCCCCTAATGATGCAAAAAAAAACAACTTCCCAGGAGATGAGCAGCTGCTGAAAATCTATTTTCCAAATTCCATTTAAATTGGACAAACTCTTACTTTTTAGTTTGATTAAACTCAATTCAGTCTTTCTGATTCATTCGGTTAATTTTCAGATGAAATATTAAAGGGCACAAAAAAACACATAGTGACAACATGCCAGGTCACTGAAGGCAGTACTTCCTTTCACACTGATTTCAGGTTTCCCACAGGATGTACAGACGTGTGTGCCATTACTGAAACTAAACACGTGTCTCTCAGAATAGATTGTCTTGTTTCAATGCATGTACAAAGTTGACTCCTAGTAGGATCAATTCAATCAGGTTCCAATAATGAATAGATTATAAATATTACATTCACTAGTCCTTGTAGTACACAATTAAAATACAGATACAGAATTATTTATGTGAAGAATATTTCCTGATACTTTTACACAGAGTTCTATATGTAGACTGTGAGAATTAGTACCACTTTTCTGTGGAGTTTAGATTTATACGCACCAATAATTATATTTACAAGACTGGATGTCTTGTTGTTTCACCTTCTTCTAACCAAATTATAGTTTTAGTAGTTTAATTGATATCGCTTTACTGTACATATACGGTGCCCCAGTATACACTGAAGGACTAGTAATTGAAGGGAAGAATACTTTGCCTAAAAACATCATGTGCATTATATAATTACAGAGACTGATAAAATAGCAAGGGCTTACTCTTAACTTCAATGATATAATTTTCTTAAAAATACAGTATCTTTTTCCACTGAGGGGCTTTACCTCCAGCATTGAGACGCCATTCATATCGTATTTCAGAGAAGAAGGATCCAACTGAGTGTGGCTGATTCCATTTAATTACCCTCCTTAGACAGGAAGCTAAATGATTTGAAGTCATCTCAGCTCATTAAACCTTTTCCTCTTCATTCAATCTGAAGAATAGATTGGCAATTCATCTTGGACAAATTACAGTGCTTCAATGTTTTGTGTTTCAGTACTTCATTTCTGCACTTTCAGAATTTGTCAAGAGAGGGCCCACTTCTCCCATTACAATTTGATGTGCAGTGTCACACGCTACGGTGTTTCTCATGTGACATTTTTGCACTTTACAGTCAATTCAGTTTCTCTTCTTCTATTTTATTGCCACTGCTATCTTCTATCTCCCCTGTACGTTTATGAGTACCACCATCTTCACTCATCTTTTGGATAGAATACTGTTGGAAATATGAAAGTCCTCGTTTGTTTACTGGTTCCTTTCTAAGTCTTAACCCCGGAGGAACTAACAACAGCTTCTCTCAACTCTGACAACAGTCGATGGGCTACTTTTAACGGTTCTACTGCTCTTCCACCTGACTGAAAGTCATGCAAATCAAGTCTACTTCCCACAGACTGCATACTGTGATTCCATCATGTTTACTACTCGATGATCTGGTACTCATCATCATCAATCCAGGCTCTCCTTTGTGTACTTTCTAGTTTGTGCTTGTGTTTGCTAGAATTTTCCTTGAGGGCTGTTTCAATCATCTCCACTTTCCAACCATAGGCATGAGTCAAATCTATAGAGTGTTGGGAGCTGGTAATGAGGTTGGTTTAGCACATCAAAAAGGACCTTTTCTGCTTGGTCAACTTGGTCTAGCGCCAACATTAAAGCCTGGCGGAAACCAAGTGGGAGAGGGATTGACAGGAACCAGGCTCACAACCTCTCCGTCACTGGCTTAAATGAAAAATTATGTCACTTTGGCTGTTTTTGCACCAATCACCTGTCGCTAAGACTGATAGCAGACGCAAAGATGTCCTCAAAAGTCACAGGGACACCAGGTGCAGCGAGTGCGAGTGTACACTATTACCATAAGCGTGACATGAAACACACAATATAATGTGTTTTTGTGGTATCAAGCAGGGCTATTCTATAATCATACCATTTTCCTGTTGTTTTATACTTTAGGATGACTCAAGGTCAGTGCGGCATCTCTGACGAAACGCTAAATATTTTTCTTTTGCATCTATGTTTCATATTTGACCCACCATGCTATATGAGCGGCTTAGGAGTTTGGCAATTATGTACATGACAAATCCTCAGGTGCCTTACAGTTTAATTATCACATGACTCTGTGAGTGAATGTTTTGGGTTGAGATATATGTGAAAGGATTTCAACACCTCTTTGAGTGCAGGTTTGTCCGTGATACCGTTACAAAGGGCTGGAAACTGGGCTGGGTCGGCTGCAGAAAAGGAATTTACATTTATATTTGACTAATCAAACGTCCTACTGTAATAAACCACAGCACAATACAGTCTCGAGGATATCAAAGGAGGATTTGCTAACTTTTATGTTTTTGGTTCAGATTATGCAGATGTTCTGCTACCATTCACCATGATACAGTTACATTTTTTAGAATTGGATTTATGTATTATGACAGCGTATACAGCTCCATTAAAAACAAAAGAGAATTGTAGAATATCAGTGTATTTCTGGGAGCGGAGATGACATCTCAGAGTGCACATTTATTTTAGCAAATCATTTCTTTAAAAGGTCTTTTATCTATTTTTCCTCCTAGCTGTGATATTGTAATCTTGGGATGTTTTTTTTTGCCTTTTTGGCATCTACATCTACATCTACAGAATCTGGAGACTGACAAAACTTGACCAGCCAAAAAGTGCAATAGTGTTTTCATACAACGACGGGCAGGCGATCACCTACAGCTATTTACCTCACGGTTAAGTGTTCTAGCAAACATGGTATAGTAGGAGTAGTTGTAATCTCCACAGGAACACTTTGTCATGCCTGTGTACTATGCAGTGGTACATCTGTGGGGCGGCAGAGCTTGCAGGCCCCGGTGCAGATCACCTTTCATTTACAGAGCACTGAAAGCACGCCGTCGATCGTGCTTTTACACTACAGGAGCAAAACGTGTGCTGCCATAACCATCCAGTACTCAATCCTATATACGTCCATGATCACTTAGTTACTTTATGCCAATCTACAGTATCTAGTGTGAAGAAAAGGTCAGCTAACTTTCAATAATACTCTAAAATGATTCACATGGATGTGATGAGTTAAGGGTCACTTTTCCTCGTTAAGACAACTGTTTATGCTTTGTACAACACAGCTTGCAGCACCATATTTTAGACTAACATCCTTTATTAGTTGTCCGAAAGATAAACCTCAGAGAAGTTTGTAAAGGTGCTGAATCAACCAACTTCTCTCCTTGTACCTTTCCTAAATTTGCTTTATTTTTGTTTATTTATTCTGACAATCAGCACACACCAAAACTATCAAATGCACACACACACACATACACACTACAACAGCATGTCATATTCTATCCTCAAGATAAAAGTCCTGAGTTTCCTTTATACGCATCTTGAGGACGTCTTTACAGACTCCATTCAATTTTCATAGAAAGCTTTTCTCCTCGTTTTAGATACAGTTGCACTGCAAAGATGTCTTTCTATTGCTTGCTCTCTCTTCTCATAAATCATGTGACTTTTGATGACATGGATCAGAGTTTTGCTTGTTGTCACAAGCCAAACAGATGTCATGCAAGTAACACTGGGCTGTGTATCTGCTCCTCAAGCAATAAGCCTAATTTAGATATTTAGGTTAGCTTTTCCTCCTGATCTTTAGACTCCTGATTAACCTAAATCTGAGGGCTGTTACAGTATCGTTTAGGTGGATGTCGCTGCTTAACTGTTTGACATTTTGGGAAATATGCATATTCGCTGTCTAGGCCAGAGTTAGATAAGTCACTTGATACCACTCTCATATGTTTCTGTTAAATGTGAATCTGAAGCTAGCAGCTGGCTAGCTTAGCTTGGTATAAAGCCTGGAAACAGGGAGACGGCTTTTGGCTTCTGTCCAAAAGTAACCAAATCGCCCTAAAATCAGCTCTAAAGCTCAATATTTAACTTGATTTGTCTTGTTTGTTTCATCCATATCTTTACAGCTAAGCTAACGTATTGTGGTAAAACAGTCTGCCTGTGGCTGCCCCGAGGTATCAAAATCCACCTAAAAACACCTCAATAATTACCAAGTTATATATGTTTCTTCAATCTATACGTAAAAAGTGAAAAAAAGACACATTGTGGTTTTATAGGAGTTGTATTGGTTTATTTCTTGGCTAACTAGGCAAAGTGACTAGCTGTTTCCCCCGCCATGAGACGGTTAGCGTAGCTTAGCCATAAAGGCTGAAAACGGTAAACAGCTAGTCCGCCACATACCCAAATCGATCAGCATAAAAACCACAAATTGTCATCAATCAACATAGATTTTTGTAGGAAATTAACAAGCAAGATATTGTATCTTAATTAGGGAGCTTTGGGGACGCTGGTAGGCCTATTTTGTTACCAGGCTAGCCGGTTCCAGTCTTTTAGCTGAGCTAACTTGTCCTGGTGGCTGTAGCTTCGTACAGGTTCAATCTTTTCAACTATCTAAGAAAGCAAATAAGCATATTTACCAAAATGTTTTAAAGTATTCCTTTGAATAGGCGAATTTTTTGCTTTGGTCACGTTAAATCAGAACTTTTTTAGGCAATGTAGAAGCTTGCATGTAACATTTTGTCATACTTAATATCTATAAGTCCTTTCTTAGTTTGATTTCATAAGTTATTCTTATTTTTTTTTTTACTTGTGACCTCAGTGCCCATCTGCAGAGTTAAGGGCCTGAGTCAGTGTGAATCAGCCTACATTGCCTCTGAAGGACAGTTATACTAGTTTACACCGCTGCTCGTCTCTGCACCAATTCTTCATGATCACAACCAGAATCGACAGGCATATGTTGTCCACATTTGCATATTTTTTGGGGGGAATTGCTTGTGACGGTATAACTGGGAGGAAAAAATGTTTCTGAATCTGTGCTGTTCTTTTTTTTGTTTCAGTGTTTTATGAGGGGAGAGAGAAGTCACAATTCTGTTTGCCTTTGGTGGAGAAATGTCTTGTGTCGTGGCTGTGGGTAGAAGTAACAGAAGGCCTCTTATGGGTTTTGCAATGTGACATGAGAAAAAATGTACAGCATAAAAGGTTTGTGGTTAGCTTACAACTATTTTGAATTGTTAGATATATCAATAATGAGGATAAATATAATGCCAAATATTCAGTATTTGTACAGAAATATACATATATAAATATATAATATATACCTAATTTAAATGGAACTATTTTCCGCTCTTGACCATGTTTCTGTTATTTAACGTTCCTTTGTCAACATTATTTTATAAGATCTTCAGATAGCATGCAGGATAGTGAAAATGAATGTATTATTTAGTGTTTCATTGCTGTTCAGTATTACAGCATTCTACAGATCAGTTTGTGTTTGTAAGAATAATTTAAGCTGAATATTTCATTTCTAGATTTGTTTACTTATAAATGAATTGTAAACTTTCTTTTTTTTTTTTTTAAATTCAAGGTTCTGAAATGGATAACAGTTTATATCATTTCATTATTTTTCTGCTTTATCAACGTGGCTCAGTATATTTTGCCTCTTCTAAGTACTGCTATCAACCATCTGTTGTAAATAATTATGCAAATTAAACTTTTTGAAGAAAACAGGATGGCTGTGAGAGAGCGCTTTCTTCTTTCCGCTATGAGGACCGGGAGTTTGGAGAGGCTTCGGTGATGCAGCTGTACCAGGAAGTAGACAAGCCATGTGGGATTTTAGCTCAAAGGCAAGGTTATTCATGGGGAATTACTAAAACCCAGATAAAGTGTTCATTCTCTGGAATAACTCCCTGAGGATCAATACAATAAGAAATGGAAAGACGCTCGCTGAGCGGTAATCCAAGTGTTGTGTCTTATTACATGTCTAGCTCTTAGTTACAACTGTGATGATTTAAATAAATCAAGTGATCTTATTGGTGAATGACAGACAGTAAACTACCGTATATGATATCCCTCTGGCCTGCTTGGTGTCCCTGCAAAGTCTTAAGGTCCTGGTACTGTGCATGCCGGTTTACAGTCATGGGTTACTGGGACACTTAATGTTAACACAGGTGTTTCCAGTTGTACCGATGAGGGAAGCCCTGCCCACCAGTGACATCGTGTCACAGCAGGAAGAGCACAGCATTGAATGATGTTTGCGTACGATTGAATTTGGCAGTTTCAAGGCACTGGTGTCGCGTCTTGGGACAACTTCAGTGGAACTTTATCATTCCTGCAATGACAAGTCAAAATGTCTACGGTGAAAAAGTTCTGTTCGACCGATAAGTATAGGCACCAGACCGGAGAGGGCCGTCACTACTACACAGATTCACATGTTTGTGATGACAAATACTGACTTCATCTTACCTTCTGCTATATTTCACAGAGGTGTCTTCCATTCTAATCAGCATGAGAGAAAACAGCGCTCCACACAGGTTGTAATTAAACAAGTGGTCTTTATTACAGCAAAGAAGCCAAACATTACAGACAAGAATAATTATGAACCATGAATATCTATACTCAAGACTGGCCTCTCATCCAGACACCTGCTTCATTCACTACTCTTGAGGGCCATTACTTCAGATATATTACGGAGGAATTATTGGCATCTTAGCATGATTAGCTCCTTAGTTTTTCCCTTATGCGTGTAGTTAAGAAGGTTGATTTACTGCATTAATTGTCTGTTGACACTCGCCATTCTTTTCTGTCTCTCTGCATGCTATAGAGATGGCACTCCGTTTACTCCAACTGGCAAACTGTATTACCATCGTGAGTTCTCTCTCCCTCCTTTGGGTCGGACACAAATCTGCAGAAATAAACAGAAATGTGATGTTCCACCAAAAGAATAAAGTTTTGTAATCAGAGGACACTTTTATGCTTTTTTTTAAAAACAATATCTGTTAAAATCTGAAGTTGCGCCCTACAGGAGTACAATCTCTGACTTTTTTTTTTATCTACAACAGAACTAATGTTCTGACATTGTGTCCATCATCTCTACTGTTCATCCAACAATAGAGCCTTTTTAGAGTTCTCATGATAGCCTATTTACAATAACACCCTTAACAGTAGACCCGGGGCTACTCTTCTTCCAACCAAGTGGAACCTCTGACATTTTATTTACAATAAAGTGTGTTATTTAGATTTTTTTTTTTTTTCTTAATCCGCTTGAGCTCAACAGAAACACATCTGATATTTGGTAAGACCGCAAAGCCTCACAAAGAATTCATGAAGCATTGTGATTCATAAAACACATTGAGTCATGGTCCAAACGGTCTTTAAACATTGATCGTCCATGAGAAACGCATTCAACAAAGCCCTGGTTTGCGATCTAAGATACTGTTAAAATGCTTGTATCAAACAAGGAAATTCAAATGATTAGGCACAATACATGTTTTTGTTTCACATTCCTGCATGTTTCACTCACTAAGCCTGTTTGCATCACTCAGTCCGTGTGTATTCAGGGATAATGGCGAGCAGGATATGATGAGGACAAACAGCTTATCCCGACTAGGACATTGGAGCTATTATCCAAAAATACCCTGTGCATGTAAATGCACCGATGTTCTACTGACCACAAACAAGAGCAATGGGCTTTTACACAAATAAACCACGGTAACATCACAGAGAGTTTCATTAAGTGAAAACAAGACAATACTACTGAATTCCACCTAGATACTGAAAAACTACTTCTAATGCTTTAATATACAGCTTCAGTCAGGGGTTCTTAAACTTCTCTTCGCGAAACCCAAATTGAGCCGATGTAGCCTTTTACCTCAGGACCCTCTGTGGGCTGGTTTGATCATACTTAACGCTCTCACCGCTCCGGAGGAAACAGACTGGCAGCCCATTTTGCGTCCCGACTCGCAGTTTAAGAAGCGCTGGTGGCAGAGTAAACATGGGATGAAGAATGATTGTTCTTACAAGCAATGCAAGTAAACAAACAATAAATACAAACAATGTGCTTTATCCATATAGACATATTTACACAAAGTCTTTGGCTTATGAATAAACATCAGCTACAAAATAATAACAAAAAGTGTTGGCAACCAGTGCACAAAACGAACGAGGCCTGGGGTCAGTTCACTTCCGAGTCCATTCAAAGCAAAAATAGAACTTCCCAAATCTCTCCATTCTCGGGTTTTTTGAAATGAAACATCCCATTTTTGAATTGGCTGAATTGAAAGTGCATTGGGCCCGGCCCTGAAACAAACATGATTATGCTAATGTGACATGGTTGACCAAAAATCTTAAGTGTTCCAATTTTTACAATTTAGGGTACAAAGAAGACTTCAAAACTTCTCTCCAGTCGATCGATAAAAGATGCAACAAATCAGCGCTGCAAGTGACTGCGGGGAAACATAAACAATGACACATTTCACACTTTCTTTGAACGTATACATTTTAGTGAAAATCCTACACTAATCATGTTTCAAGTTGCCACTTCATGATGTCGTAAAAAAAAATACAATGGAAAGCCTTCTACTCCTCATGTACACTTCCTGTTTTAGTTCCACTGTCAGTCTAATTCTTACATTGACATTTAGGGTGTTTTCTATGTGTTCTGTTATCTGACAACCTACTGTGTGTGTAACCAATGAAAATGGGTTCAGAGTGGCTTTCATGTACTTAAATACATAATGTTCTGACTCAGGAAAATAACAGGAAGATGCTGCTGATGTATGGATTAGAAAAAGAAGCATTCACAGAGTTTGGCCAGGCAGTAACATCACGTTTCTTGTTCTTATACAAAAGTACTTGCTGCAAATATTCAAACATCACCATGATGAGATGGCCAACACTGTCTAGTTACTCACAAATGATGAGCATGAGAGCAGGAATGCGGGGCCACTGAAAACTTGCAGTTATTCAAAAGCTGTGGTTGCAGTTGGGGGGGGGGGGGGAAGAGACATCTACAGTGCACATTGGGTACTGCAGCTGAAACAGCATGAGGCATCAAATCCATGGGAGGGAGGGAGGGGCTAAACATTTAAATGAGGCCCAAAACATACAGGGCCCCACTGGCACTCAAAAAGCTGTACAATAAGCATAAAGGAGTAAGAGGAGTAACACCTCCCTCTCTGTTGCACTCCTTCTGTTAAAAGTCTGTTTCCCTTTGTTTGGATTTAAGGAGCCGATTTCCACTTGTAGGGACGCAAAATGGGTGCTACAGAACGGCCGCCACAGAGGGGAGTCGGGACCAAGTGAAAGCAAAGGATCCAACACGTGGGAAGTGAAAAGATCTTCTGCTCTTCTTCTCTCCTTTGTTTAGGAGGACTCGATGAACTCCAGGGACAGGTCGTAGCAGAAGCGGTACTGTTCCTGGAGCAGAACACAGACAGACAAACTGACCTTAATATCTGGGCGATCACATGTTCATATTTTTGGTTCAATCTTTGACAAAGTCTGATATGTTTGTATTTTCTCACCGGAGTATCCACCATGTTGGGTTTGCTGTTCCTCAGGGTCTTCACGGCGTGGAAGACGTCGACCACACTCTGTCTCTTGGCCATCTCACACACAATGCTGCTGGCACAGAAAACGCCACTACGCCCGCCTCCATTCCTGCAAACACACAGAGAGTAATACAGAGATATGTGACACAGTATAATATTTCATATGCAGTGTTGCCACCTCTCCCAGTGCTCATTGCACTGATGTTTTGGCACACAGGTAACAAATCATCCTGCTCGTCAGTAAAAGCTTGTGCATCATCAGACAAAGAGACATTCTGTTTAAAGAGAGGTGTCACTCTGAGTGAGTTTCATGAGTCATTAACACTTTCTATACGAATCATCAAATGGTGCCAAGATAACTGGTATTAACTACCATTCCTCAAGTGGATAGAAGTCCTTGTCGGCCACTGCTAGATCATTTTTTCGCTTCTTTTGTAGTAAAAAAAGTCAACAGACTTCTCTTTTGTTCCTTACAGTGCTACAGATTGTTTTTCACAAACAAACTCTTACTAAATAACAGAAAGTAAAGTACATGGGATTTTGTACGTTCGGCGTGAACTCACAGGCAATGCACGATGGTTCTTCCCTCTCCCTCCTCTCCCTCACGCTGCCACTGGTCGACCTGCAAGATCAGTTTCAGGAAGGAGCGTTTGGAGGCGGGGACTTCCCTGTGTCCCGCCCACCCCAGGTACTGAAACTGACGGACCATCAGGTAGCCTTCCTGTGGCTGAAAAGATCAAACAACACACACATTTATTGGAATGGATTCTATTATATATATCAATATCTATCTCTATATAGGAGACTGATGAGTTACCACATAAACACAATATTAATCTACTAACCCTGGTGAGGTTGCAGACTCTGAAGAGTCTACTGATCACATCGCAGTCCATTGAGCAGGACATACATTCCACCTGGACCGGACCATAACGCAGCGTGCCCTCCTCCGGCCAGTACTGAGGGCAACCCTGCTTAGAAACAGTGACAGCATTTAGAGACAACAATAAAAACAGAGAGAAACAGCAAGAAATAACAGTGGAAAAATTTAATATTGTAAGTAAACTATTATTTTCCTATATGTTGTTTGGCTTATGCCTATTTGAGGCCTTGGTGAGCAGAGGACCACTTTCTACCCTTGTAGACCGTAAAAGTCTGTTAATATATGCTGACCTCTGTGGTGTTGACTTTGAGGATAGACATTTTAAGCCAATATTAGCATTTTAATACAAATTTGCAATAACCGCAAGACAGGGTTATCTCCTCCAGTATTATAAAGGTTTCTCTCTGGTCAGACTGGAGTTTAATTTGATTTTTATTTGACACAGCTGACCCCAGTAATTGTTCCAGAGCGGTCTGCAAGAGCTTTTACTTCCCGGTTGATTATTCTTGGTTCTGACTGTTGGATCTATCAGATATCATTGTTTGTTTTCCTGCTTATAATATCATGTAGGTGGTATTTTAGTTAATTGTGCCTGTATGTTATAGTATGATAAAGTTATAAAAAGTTATACTATATTGTTGTTATTAAGAGTTGTACAACAGTGACAGATATTTCACATTATGTAATGTGTTAGTCATGACACTAACTAAGCCAAGACTAAAGTGAATTACCTGAGCCAGGTCGATCTCATTCAGCATCACCAAACTGGTACATCCGTAGTCGTAAACCAGACGCCAAAAGTCTTTGACAGAGTTAGGCAAAGGATGCTGGGTAACGATGAATGCAGCAGGCTGTCTGTAGCTCTGCAGGAAACAAGACAACAGAAATAATGTCAGGCCTTTCATACAAACAGAGGTGTCATTTCACAATGTGAAGCAATAAGTTATGTTCTCTGTTTTTTACATCTTTCTTTCTCTCTCTCTCATTCATACTGTATTGTGGGACAGCAAGCAACACGGGTGATGTTTGGTCACATGATCATGCAGTGGGCCTATTAAATGTGAAGGTGGGAGCATGCTTTACATTTACAAATACACTGTGCGTACCGTACATCTAGATCTACATCTAATGGGGCCAGTTTACTTTATGTTCAGTTAAAAATGTCTCCAATGGCAAAGATGTCAGACACACAATAAAATCAACCAAAAGACTAAAGTTTCTGTTGACATAACAAACTGACTGAACTGAAAGTGAACTGAGCCCGACTCATCCTGAATGAAAATGTGCAGCCAGATGTGAGACATGGGAGTGGATGATGTTGGTGACTTGAGGGGTCGGGGTCAGGTTTAGGATTGAGGGTGTGAATGGCTTTGCTAAATATGAACCTGGTGGCAGAATGACACTGAAGCCATGAAACAAATCCAGTGTTGGAGATTTGAAGTGAAATCCCATTACCTGGAACTCCTCTGAGAGCTTGGTTAGAGAGAGGCCAAAGGTAAGTGACTTAACTTTAAATATAAACTTTTGAAAATTGGAAAGTTTTACAGCAATTACAGTATTTTTGTCCTCCAACAGCTTTGGAGAGAAGCCAGGTTTCTTTCCACACCATGCATATATTACACTTTGTGTTTCGACCATTATCATACTATATCTACAGCCCACCCCTTACTATCTTCCCCTCTGCCTGTTCTAGCAGACCTGCTAATCAACATTAAACAGTAAGACAGGCAATGACCAGATATTGCCATCTTACCTTAAATTTCAACCTACTTAATGACTTTGTTGTTCAAGTCATGGTACATGGGCAACGTGTTGTCAATGCAAACAATGTCCTGCAACAACGAGGCTGTTACTGATCGGGTGGTGGCCAGAGAAGCTAGTGGTCTTTTCAGAACCTGGATTTGTCTCTAGACTTCTGCTGCTAAAACCACAAACACAGCATCACACAAACAGGGAGGGGAGTCTGTGTGCGTTGTCTGCATAAGCATATATGCAGAAATATCTGCATGTACACGTGTTTCTCTTCATCATTTGTGTATAACTTCTTAAACAGCGTGTGTCATTTTCAACAACTATTTGATTGCAGTTTGGGACATCATACACAGTTTTTTAAATACTTTTTCACATTGCATAAATTTAAATTGTGTTAAAGCAACACATCTGTCTAAAAGGCTCCACATGTTCTCGTCAAAAAAAAGAACACACACGGTGTGAAATGTCCCAAACCGCTCTCGCTGGATGTGTTGAAAATAACACAACCTTAATGTATGTGCGTGTGTTCTACACTTACATCCATCAGAGCAGCATTAATGTAGTTGCTGCTTTCTCCGTCTATCGTAATAAGGAAGGGAAGGCATCTGTCAGGAGGAAGGCCGTCCATAAAGCGGTTCTTGTCTTGGTTTCTAGGCAACAATGCGATGCTGCAGTCTTCAGGCTGAGGCTGAGGAGTCACCGAGTTTAACGTCTGAACAAAGAGAGACAGATATACAATATGAAAGTTAGTGCACAAGCAGAGTTATTCGATTAATTCTCGTACTTATCCACTTATTTTGTCTGGCTATATTTGGACGCTGTGTCTGACATTTTCGTAGCTTCCTCTTGGATGCATGCTTACAATCTGCCGCCTGTTTGCAATGTTTTAACAGAGACTGACTCACACAACATTACATTGGCGCTGCGCAATTACCCTTGCAAGCTGCAGCGTGCTCCCTCCATACTGGACCAATTTCAAAAATTGTTGTCCCAATTAGTCAGTCGGACACAAAAACATGGGAAAATAGGTTTTTTTCAGCTTCAAAAAATGTTAAAGTTACTCTTTACGTTCAGCTGCACAGCTTTATTGTAAATGTAAAAAATGCAATAACACAGTTGTTTTGCTTTGTTTCTGACCATTCAGAAGATAGGATTGTTACTTTTAGGGTGGAAGACACAGATTGTATTTAGGTTTACCTGGAACTCATCCTTCAGATGGGACGAGTTGGTCTGCGAGTCGATGCGGATCAGCTCATAAAAAGCAGCTTTGAACTCGCAGACTGGTATAGCTGTTTCTCCACATAGACACGCCTCCAGAATGGCATCGTGGATGAATATATACTGCTCCTGAAGACATCAAATTCAAGACATTTATGTTATTATATTTCACTCCGAGATAAAAACATTGACAAACAATTAAACACACAGAACGTGTCACGTGGGGAACACGAGCAGCTGTGATGCCGAATGAAAGTGAGCATGCCGACACTTTGAGTGGGTGACTACCGATGGGACGTGGAGCTATGAACGAGATGACATGATGACTGTCGAGCTTTGGTTTACTTCACTCAGTCCACACAGGAAATTGAATGTGAATTGAATGCTGCTTTAGTGAATGGCTGTGAATTTCTTTGTTATGATAGATGACATGAACTGTTGTTACACTGCTACAGACTCAAATTCTGTACATTTTGCAATGTTCACTGATGGTATAAAAAACATCATGATGATTTCATGAAAGATGATTTCATGCATGGAGCATGTGGTCCCTATGTAATCAAAATAATATGTTTTGCCTCGTTGTCTCCAGAGATCCAACGTGTAGGAAATTAATTTTGTTTATGTAATGACATGAACGGGTGGCAGATAGATGCCGTCACCTCAGCCTGCAAAGATGCTGATGGCTGAGTCTTACGCTTTTATTGTCTGAGATGTGGATGCAGATGGAGGATGGGTAATGCAGTCACCTCAGTCTGTACCATGTTGATCCTCCTAGAGCGAAGAGCCTTCACACAGTTGTAGATGTCGACCACACCTTCTCTCTCCGCCATGTCCAACATGATGTCGATTACTATGAAGCAGCCTGTCCGCCCTGCTCCAGCACTGCAGAGAGACACACCCACAGAGAAATCATTCTTCAAGGCAATACTTGAGAGAGATAAGCCTATTTATTTCTTACTATGGTATGTATATTTAAGATATAAGGGTGTATATTAATCATGTGTGCTGGAGTATGAAAACGTCTTTATGTATTTCTATACCTGCAGTGGACCACAATTGGACCAGCAGACGGTGGATTTGAGATTTTAACTCTGCGGATGAAGGAAAGTAGTCCTGTGGCGTGATATGGAACTCCGTGATCAGGCCAGCCTGTGAAGTGGAACTGCTTGACTTCCCGTACCTCGTTGAAACCACGCTGAGATAGAGACAAAAGACATCTTTAGATTACATTTAATGGAGCCCGTCGTTATGTATTCAGCCGTTGAATATGACTGAAACCTGTGCTGAACTCACACAGAAGAGATAAACACTCAACTAGTTCCACATATTTTAGGTACAAGCATTTAAGTATTTAACAATGATGTTAATTATGCTTAGCTCAAAATGAAAACAAAACAAAATGATGCAAAATGTAAGCTAAACATATTGTACTCACCCTCTCCAGCGTAAATGTGCGGACCACATATTCAGCAAGAGGTTCAACCTCCACAAACGTCACCTTGAAGTCTCCGTACACCTCTGCATCGTCTGGCCAATACTTATAGCACTTAACCTGTCAAAAACAGCATTTCACATTTAATCAAATACAGTATAGTGATTATAATATGTGTTCAAAGACCTGGGTCAAGTGGCAGATACAGCTTCTTACGTATTACAAAAAATACAATATAATTCCCTAAATATTGCAGATTTACCAATAAAACCGCAGCACAGCAGAGACACATTTCTTTGCACCAGTCATATACAGTTTTTTTATTCAATTATCACCAATTCAAATGACATCAACACCAACAAAAATACTTCAAAAGAATATTTTTCAGTGTTTTTCTGGTGTATGTGCTAAAGCTACTTCAAAATGTTACATGATTCTGATTTATTATATATTATCTGGCTATGCAAATTGTCAAAAGGGCCCGAATAATCTGTGTAAAACACATTTAACAACTATGGGGCGCCAGGAAAGATGCCTTGCCCAGTTCCACCGCACGAGAAGAGGAACTTACCCGTCCAACCTCCACCAGATTGGTTACCATGACGATGCAGGCCGACTGTTCCTGCCACACCATCCTCCAGAAGTCGTACACGGTCTCATGAACAGGACCTTCACACAGACACAGAGACACACACGGTCAGCACTGTGTATGGTTTCTATAGTGTGAAGAAAACTGAAGTTATGAAGAAATGTTTCAGTGTCTTACCCTGAGTAGCAATGTAGTGACTTGGTCTCTGGTAGCCCTGAAAACAAAACACCATCAATCTATTATCACAGTTCAAGACGTCCAGAGTGCAGCATTATAACTGTCCAAACTAATCTGGAAGCTTGTTCTCACCCGTGGAGATAGAAAGATTATGGAGCTGAAGTTAACAGAAATAATTTGATGATATAATGAATGTAGTTGTCATCTTTTGGGATACATTTACAGTGTGTATTCTAAGTCTTGAGGTATGTGGAAGAACGTTTACTCTCAGTACTTCTACCTGTCATTTCCGAATGATCAAAAATGGCAAAATGAGGCTCAAAGTGAGGCCCTGCCGAAATCTACAGACAGGTACAAAAAGCTTTGACAACCACTGATTGAGATTTCCTGATAGCAATAACACAAAAAGGTACCGCGCATAAGTAAAATGAACGGCACATAGTGGGATTTAAGCAAGACTGGTGGGAGGGCAAGATGGTGTGAAATCTTCCATGCGGCAGAGGCCCCAGCAACTCAAAGTGTGCGGACAACGTGACCCGATGCACGTAACGACGAGTGCAAGAACGGATGTGCATTGTTAACGGTTGAGGGGCGTGAATGAAGGAATCCACAGTGATACTTACATCCCTGTACAGCCAAATCTACAGCCCAAGCCACAGGCAGAAAGAACAAGTGGAAGAAAGAAAGGCAGAAAGAAAGAAAGCACAACAATGTCAGTGAGTGTCAATCAGAAAAAGAAAAGTTGTACTGATATAATGGAAGTTTGAACAAGACATGCAGAAAAAAAAAAAAAAATATGATCAAAAATTGTGAATTAGACTGAATAGAGAGGACACTTCCTGATGGCGTTTGAGATTCTTACAGCAAAAAGCATTTGTAAACAACAAGTTGGTTGTTTACAATCTCATTTTTGAGTACACTCCAAATGACATGACAGCCATAACCGCAGCTGTACCGACAAAGATAAGCTGGATACACCAGGGAGTGTCCACTCTATTCACCCTAGTTCTAGTTTAATGTAGGTGGTAGCGTGCATGTGATAGTTTCAATGGAAAGTAGTGATATTATGGAAAAGCATGTCATAAGCAGTATTAGCATTTTAAATGTGAGAGACTAACATGCAGATGATTGTTGTAAAGGTGACAGCAGAGTGGAGAGGTGGAGATGGGAAAGGGTGGAGTTCTGTAGTGATAGGTGAATGGACGGAGAAACGATAGATAAAATGGATAAAAAAAGGATGGATGGACCTGAAGTGTAAAAACTGTCTTTTCAGTTTCTCTCGTAGAAGAACGGACACTGCATAAAGAAGAAACAACTCAGGCTCTGTAGAGGCTTAAAGTAGATTTTTCATGCTATACTGTCATCAGTGGATGAGCTAGTAAAAAGTTAAATAGACTGAAGGCTGAATGCAGTGGCTTAAAGATAATACTCTCATCCCCTTCTTGCGGAGAGTAAGATGAGAAGATTGATACCACTCTCATGTCTGTGCAATACATATGAAGCTAGCAACAGCAGCTGTTTAGCTTAGCTTAGCTTAGCTTAGCGTAAAGACTGAAAACAGGTGGAAGCAGCTCGGCTAGCTCCAACACATGCTGTTATGTACTTGACTATTTCTTAGCTCACGGCTTCCTGGAGTCACACTTTGTGTCAACTCTCTCAACAATTCTCTTTGTTCAGCTGTTGATGTTAAATGGTTGTCCCACTGTAAAAATGAGTCCAACTAAATCCAAATAACAACTAAAATCGACAGTTTTATCCCATGTAACTCATATAGACTAAACTGTAATTTAAATGAGCTGCATCAGGATGCTATGATAACTTTAGAATGCACATGCATGGAGAGACAGCAGACAGAACGGACATCTGGGAAAGACACATGTAGTGTATGTATGATGTGTTTTCGGGGTGGCGGGATGCGTAAAATGGCACGATGGATGACTAGTAGACGCAATAAAGGTATAGAGGCCTGACATACGAGCGAGGGAGTGTGGTTTCGTTGGTTTCGTTGGGAGCCAATAGTAGCATTCGATGCGTTTCCACTTACATCGATGTAGTTGGCGTTGATGTAGTCGGAGGAGGGGTCGTCTTCTATGGGCTGGAGAATAACCCTTGAATGGTCATCTAAAGAGAGACGCAAGAGGACAAGGGTTGGAGAGAGCAATCACAAAGAGATGAAAAACAAAGAGACAGTGAGATAAAGAGGAAGACACATAGAAATAAAATGTTTCTTTCAGGACATATGGCTATTTTATGTCAAAAGGCACATGTATTGAAGTATTTGTTCTCTACTTCCCCCCTCCTTTCCCTTTTCTTCTTCTTGTAAAGCACATTGCAGCTTGTGTTGTGAACATACATGACTAAAGCTTGCTTACATGCTATAATGTTCCCATAGCGGTTCTTGGTGCGGTTCTGCTCCTTCTTAGCCACGTCCCAGGAGGCCGACTGGCCCTCGAAGAAGCTCTGTATCACCAACAACAGACAAAAATATACAAAAGGAAATTACACGTCATGGATCCAAGCATATCATTCCCACTGGAGGACTCCGAGCAGGAAGAAGTACTTGAGTGACTATTCCATGGGTACACCAATGGTGACATAATGCTTATTAGATACACAAGAAAAGGAAATAAAACACGGTTTGTAGCACTTTGACTGTTTAGTCGATAATACTCTCAAATAAAGAGTAATAGCTCAACCGTAATAGTCATTTCATCATTTTAATGTAAAGCCAAAACATCAAATGAAGCATCATTGACTTTCTTTATAAGCTTTGTGTTTTTCTCTACATTAAAAATGTACATTTCACATATCGTAATGTATGAACCGTCTCGTCCTCCGATATAGAATCTGAAATACCCCTATCTGGGTTATACTTAAGGTAATAACAGTACTTCTAAAAACAACATTAACATGACTGCTTTACATGAACAGTTGTTGCCACTTTAACCAGTCAGGCAACTAATACAACTGTTATTGCTACTAGTACTGTTTATTATAATCTTACTTCATACTCCTCCTTAAAGCCGTAGCTGTCAGAGGTTTTCATGAGGTTGATGTGCTGCAGGAGGTCGGCCACTCTGATGGCGGGGTGGAGCTGTCCCGTCTGATAAGGAGACTCGGTTCCTTCACAGTGATACCGAGGAACGTCCAGGAGCCGGCTGTTCTCCGCTCCAGAGGCACTGTGGTTCTCATCTACAACAAGAGGGGAAATTACTCGTCACTTAAATTGCAAACCTACCAAAATTTGAGCTGCATTTATCGGTGCTTCCCCTGTTTTATACCGTCTAGTGTACAAAACACGTATCAAACAGATCCACTGTATTTAATCAGGTCTGTGGGATGAATCGTGCAGTAAAAAGCTTTATAAGTTAAGGTAGGTTGGATTTACATTCACTGATATTGAACACATTACTTGTATCTATATAAACCAAACCAAAAGTCACTTTTCTCTGTCTAAACTCACCTGTGATTGGAACTACATGTTAAAGCAGCAGGAAAAGAGAAGAGCAAAAGGTTCAGTCAGACGGCTGAATGGAAGGATTCGTTTGTTAGTATTTGTTAGTAAGACTCTAAAACATGAAGTACAGGTTACTGTGGAACCTTTGATCGGTGTACATGGACCCCAAAGGGCCATAAATAATGGATGATGAAAAACATTGATGATCTCACAAAACAATGGAGCGTGGCCAAAAAACACGAATTGAATTAACACTTGACTAAAACACACCTTTGGCAACATGAAAGACACTAAGAAGCAGGACACAACAACTTAAAATGAGCTGTTAAGTCTACTGCAACGTCCTATTTATAACTTTGTCGCTTCATTCATATTTCACTATGCTATCCCAAGCTCTCTACACCTTCCATACCATTATAATTGTAAAAGTAGGTGGTTTTATTCAATAATAATAAATTTCCCAACATTAAGACGTTTCAGCATCTGTTGTATTAGGAATGAAACAATACATTGAAACCACAGACGAGCAAGCGTCTGCTCTGTAGCGTGGAACTGTTGCCGGTTTAATTATCACTCGTGAGTATGGCATGATATAATGAACTTTGCATTTTGGGAGCTCGGAAGTTGAAAAAGCAGTATCGAGGCAGGTAATTATGGGGTCAAATTGTTACAGAACTTCCAGGTGAGCGGGGGATAACGTGAGTTGACGGCAGTACGCACTGACTGACAGCTCGTATAATGGAGTAGCTCGGGGCTGCAGAACAACCGAGTGATTTCATCTCCACCGCTGTTTGTTAACTGACACTGTTTATTTCGTCCAGCTGATGCGTGTGTGTGCTCTGAGGACATGTTAGCTCATTACTGATCGTTAAAGGTTTGCTGAGCCCTCGTCAGGCCAATTAACAGTAAACTTGACCCGACACTGCCTGTTCATTTGCTACTCCTTCCCAGTCTGTGATGTGATTGGCCAAGACAGATTAATAACTGCAGCCTTCGCTCTCAATCAAAGGCTATGGATCAGTTGGTTAACACAGTTTGGTGGCAGCGTGGATTGTGGAGCCCTGAAGGGTTTGTTAGAACTCTGCATGATGCTGCAGCGTCAAAACTAGACTAAACTAAAGATAAACACATTGCAGTGCAACATTGGAGCTGGAGGAGCATCCAACTTGGCAAAAACTAGAGCTTTCACACTTCAGCCTAGGGAATAGCACCAGATGGTAGATACTCAAGCAGACTTTGAGATCCAGTTTATAGAAAAAGCTCTGCCAAGCACATGGGCCTGTAGGCACTAAGTTATTCACTGTCACTTGATGTCGCAGATTTAATCTGCGGTCGTTTTGAGCTGGCAATGTGACAAATTGTCGTCCTCCTTTTAAGCATCGGTTTCTGTCGTTTTTCGGGGACAGGAAATGGCACGCCTTAAAACAACTCCAAACTGTGTAAATAATGAGGTCTCTGAGGGAGAATGATGGTAATTACTGTGAATATCAATAACTCTCAGTAGGAAACAGAAACCATGGCTTGGATTGGGAGTGATTGAACCTGGGGATAACACAGTACGACAGATGAAGTGCTTGGCTGTTGGAGTTTTTAGTACCGGCAATGTTTTACACAGAGTGTTGGCACTAGGTGGCAAAAAAAAAAGATAAAAGATGAACACACGGTTTTGCCATCCGCATGTATTCTAATCCATTACAAATCATTCGATTGCCTTTGAACCAAATCCAAACATCCATTTTGTAATTTTGTTGTGTTTCCGTTTAATTTCAGTTCATGTCTGTGGCAATACTAGAGATCTGAGTTAGCACTTCTAAAATGTGGATGAGACAGAATTGTGGTGCTAAAACTTCAGTCAAGCCAAACTATTCACCCACAAAAACGTACTTGACAGAGATCAAAGTACATAACACAGGATGCAGGATGTAATGGAGGCTTTGACGTCGTCTGAGGACACTAAATTGGGACCTATGTAGTGATGAACAATGAGGGGGCTACAAGGATTTAAGATGAGGATGGGTGATCACTAAAGGGAGCTGGTGGTAAATGGGACATATCCATCCATGCCAGGAGTCTCACCTAGCACAGCTGTTGGAACCAGGGGATCGTTGGGCACTGTGGGAGGAAACACGGTGAGGAAATGTCCTAAATTTCAGTGTTACTCAAACGTACACGAGGACCTTAAAGTGAGCATTCAAAGAGGATATCTTTGTGTGGCCACGGATATAAATATGAGGATCATTTATCTACGACAGAACCATCCCATAATTTGTGCTTTGCTCGACATGCTCGATGTGCTTTGGTAAAGCCATGAATTAGACAGAAATTATTTATTAGCAATTCTTTCGTTCACACATCAGACATAAACATACGTGAACTTTCTACACTGTCAATGGGTTTTTTTAAATTGTAAAACTGATACGGTTGAATCAATTCTTGAGTTGTTTCAACAGATGAAATTATTAGGTGATTAGGACACTGATTGGTAACTGTTAATCATCATCGATTAATCGTTTCAGGCATTTCCCAGGCAAAATCAGATCTAAATCAAAGTCTCATCAGTGAGAATAGAAGAGAGGAAAGATGAAAATAAGTCGGCGTGTTAGAATGTAAAAGGATAAAACTGAATATTAGATTTGTTGAGACTTGTTGAGTTGTGTTTCGACGGTAGTCCACGGTTAATACTAATGTTTATGCTAAATAATAACAATAATAACGGTCTTGTTCGTGAACCTACATCTGTTGTTGTAGTTGTGAGAGTCCATGAATGTCACGGCCATGGGATCTTCTCCATGCAGAGCACTCTGGTCAGCATAGCTGCGATCCATGGCATTCACCATGTGAGTCATTTCCTGCCGCGTCGTTCCGATGGCGTCTTTGCGCTTTTTTGCCAGTTTCCTGTCAGGGGCAGAGACAGACACAGTCAGGCATTCTATAAACAAATACACAAACATCAGCTAGCCTGCAGACCACCGCCATGTCAGGAATAGTCTCAAAGTATACTCTGATTTTGTATGACGTAGGTGGTATCATGTCATTTTTTGGAAACAAAAAGCACGGCTATGGGCTGCAGGCTGCTGATTCAAGATGCCGAGTTTAGATCCAACAAGGAAGTGAAAAGAAGAAAGGTGGGGAGAAGAGAATAAGAGAGGAAGAGAAGAGGAGAGAACAGGCAAGGGCGGGGGG